TTATTGTACGAAAACTGAAAAATCCAACCTTTAAATGAGTAAAATCCCATAAATCTGCAACGTAAAATCTAAAATTTATAAAAATCGAAAGGGATCTAACGTCAATAATTATAAACAATTCATCAACGTTTCATTAAATTGGTTTGTTATTAAAGGTACCAGGCTTATAATTTGATACACCAGACGCCGTCCGTTTCGTCTACATAAGACTCATCAGTGACGCTCAGATCAAAAAAGTTAGAAAGCCAAACAAGTATAAAGTTAAAGAGCAGAGCATTGAGGACCCAAAATTTCTAAAAGTTGTGCTTTTGAGTTATTGTCCGACATATTGAAGACGGACGGACAAACGGACAATGGTATACCAATCCATAATACGTCCTGTAAACGGGCGTAAAAAAAAGTTGTTAAAGACTGTTTGGATCTAGGAAAATGGACTGAAGTTTTCCAGCATATAAAGACATCACACTACACTTCTTACAAGGAAACTCCTTTAACAGACAATAGTGGCATTCCTTTATGTTGTACCTGATGCAATATAAATTGATAATCTTTAATATGATAACTACCACTTGCTGGTGAAATGTTAGTCTTAAAACTTTGGTACCTGACATGGAAATATGGAAATTGTGTTATTGGAATTTGCTGTTTTAAACTTGCATTATTCAAGTTCATCAAGCGTCTGAGATCGTCATTATGCAGGATAAACTAGAAATAATGTTGGTTATGTAGGTACTTCATCATAATTCCCTAATGACAGCATTGCTGTTTATCTATTATATTTGATTTTGATTTTTGATGTTTTAACGCCACTTTTTAGAACCGCTTTTGGGCTATTTCGTGGCGGCCAGTTTTTATTGGCGGAGTAAGCCGGAGTGCCCGGAGAAAACCATCGACCTTCGATTGGAAAATTGACAATCCTAGTCAATTAAAATTGAAGTCGAGTCAATTATAAGAATTTAATTTGCCAAATAATTCATGCAATATAGCATCATATTTTTTCAACCGCTTGGTCAACATGGGAAGGAAGTGACGATGCCCTTAAACGCACAAATGATGTTCACTAAAACCAGTTTTTGACTGAAATGCAACGAAATCGAAAATGGTCTATTATATCACCTCTATATTGTTGCCATATGAACGATTATCTAATACTTTTGTCCTTGAGCATCAATTAAGACATTAATTGTCAGAATGTGCATCTGGTGCAGAAACAAATGGTACATTTTAAAGTCATATGAAACGAGTGACTGGTGAAAAATAATGTTTATATAATTCTTGAACCAATGCATGTATATATCATAAACTTAGTCTTCTCTGCACAATTTTTTCATTTATTACGCATCCATATCGTATAATCGTCAAAAAAAAAAATCTCTCGGTCTGTTATGATGTGAAAATATGGCAGCTAATTAATTGTCGTGTTTTGAAGCCGTAGTTTACCGATTGTCACCTTATAATATAATAATAATAACATAAGCAACACGACGGGTGCATGTGGAGCAGGATCTGCCTACCTTTCCGGAGCACCTGAGATCACCCCCAGTTTTTGGTGGGGTTCGTGTTGCTTAGTCTTTAGTGTTCTATGTTGTGTCTTGTATACTATTATTTGTCTGTTTGTCTTTTTCTTTTTTAGCCATGACGTTGTCAGTTTATTTTCGATCTATGAGTTTGACTGTCCCTTTGGTATCTTTCGCCCCTTCTTTATAAGGTATATATAGTAAACAATCAACAAAGAAGCATGGGTATTGAGCACGTGTATACCATGTACAATAAGATAATAGTTTATTTCAATGACAGATCCATGCGCATTGCGATCACCGGATTTTTAGGAGAAAGGTCAAGTTGAGTTCACTGCATACTGAAATCATATCGGCGAATTGTTTACTGGAAGCAAACAATTAAAAAAAAGAAATTTCTTCTAAATTTGGACAAATTAAAGAATTTTCTTGAGAAAAAAGTATATGTTCATAAGTTTTATAATAAAAACTAGCCATCTAGTTATAAAAAACATATGCATCATTTTTTTTTTAATTTGAAGTTTCATATGACTTTAAAGTGCTTATTTTTTTATTTTGAAAAAAAAAGTACCTAAAAACAGAGATCCAGAGATTGGAGTCCAATGAGTTCAAACTCACAGAATTTTTGTATTCTTGTCTTTCATTTTTGCTAATGTGCTTTGTCTATATGCCTTTTTGTGATTCTTTGTTGCATATTTGTTTGTTTTTATAGTGATTAAGATTATAACACAATGTTGACTGCTGTACCCTTATTTTTGACATTGTTACCTATTATGTCTGTTTGTTTTGTTCACACATCGTTGTCACTATAAAGGAATTTTATGCGTCTGTCATACAAGTAAGAGGTTAAGCTAGCGCTTTTGAAACTAGGTTTAATCCACCATTTTCTACATAACAAAATGCCTGTACCAAGTCAGGAATATGACAGTGGTTATCTATTCGTTTGATGTGTTTGAGCTTTTTATTTTGCCATTTGATTAATGACTTTCCATTTCGAATTTTCCTCTGAGTTTGTTAATTTTGTTATTTTACTTTTCACAACCTCACTGCTGACAGGCTAGTGATACAGCAGATAAACTACTTAGACCACTGGGCCATTGAGGCCACTGTAAGTTAATAAAAGTGAACACAAATTAAGTTTTGTATAAATAATTTATTATCATGAAAATATGAGCAGTTATTCTGTTTAGCAACAGATAATGCATAGATAATCTTAATGTACAAATTGCATAGCACTTTATCAAGTATAAAAATTCTTTAAAAAAATGTGTTTCATACAGCTTAAGTTACACAACACAATCACAAAATATATAAGCTTTTACAAACATGATCATTAATCTTTCATATTGTGTATAATCTTTTTCATCACAAATCTTGAAACACAAACTTATATTGTATTAACAATCTGACCCCAAAAAAATATGTAACGAGTACTGTAAATTCAGAAAATCATGTGTGAATTTTAATATTAAAGTGAATTATTATGAAAGGATAATTGAAATTCTATATCTTGCAGATCAGGAACTGTTTTGGATGGAAAGAGAACTTTATATTTATTCAAAATTGTCCAAAATAAACTATGTCAACTGGTTTAGAATAAACCTGTGTGGAATGTCTAAAATATAGCAAAAGAACAAGTTCATACTCGCATTTTAAATGGCACTTGTATTCAATGATAATAACACGAAAATATAGGACTCTGGGAACTTAAGGAAAGAAAAGTATCATGATTTATGCATGGTCCAAATCTTCATTAAAAGGAATGCTATTTACAAATTGTTATAATTATGCCCCTTTGCATGATATGTTTAAAACAAATATACATGTCATGTAATTGTTCTATATACTTACTTATATAGACTAAAAATAAAACATATACCTCTGAATATCAAAGGTATGGTGATATGTATCTTTCAACCCCAAAAGACAGAAAAAGTTACTTATTTTGTTAATACCAATTTTCACGATCAATAGGAAATGCTTCTTTGATCATAGATTTCAAATAAAATGCTTTGTTTTGAGAAATAATATACAGTTTTATGTTATGCACTTCCCACCCTGTTGTTAATCAATGCTAAAGACTGACATTTAAGGAATAACAGTACTTTAGTTGAAGATTTGCTGCCATCAATTGGGATTTGACGGGTGCAAATGCAGTTTTACTAGTGAAGACTGCTGATGGGATGTGATCTTTGTGACATTTTTTTAATCTATTTTAATGAAGAACAGAGGAGAAACATTTCAAGACAGAAAACCTAAAACATCTGACATTAGCAGTGTAAGAGATCATAGTAGAATCTCTGTATATCTATAGCTATCTCATTCTTGCAATCTTGCTAAATATTAAACACAACAGACCAACACTATAATAAAATAGTACCAAGAAAATGTGATCATGTGACAGAGAGGTGATATTAAATATGAACTTTTAGAAGACATGAAAATTGGTTTCAACAAAAATTCATACTTTTTCTTAATATAGAACAACCATTTGTCATATCATTTCTTAAATTGTATGCCTAAAATTTAACATCAATTAAAATAAATGAAACTGACCAAATTTTACAGGCAATATAATTTAAATATGAAACATCATAAATTAATGTATGTCTGTTACTGAAAGGATAAACATCTTTGGCAATTAAATTAAGCTGAACACTTTTCAGATTAAAACTGGATGCTCAAAGGCAAGCAGATATTTTTTATCAATATATATTATATTTATACAAAATCACTTTTACACAGTTGAAGCAAATATCTGTCACTTTTATCATGCAAACAGATCACATAAAATAACCATTTCTCTCCAGTATATATACACAAAGAACACATCATTTACAACACACACAAGCAGCACATATTTGGCACATGTATTACATTTTATTGTAACTGATTTGAAAATAGGAAGAGGGGAGTGTAGTTTGAGTATAATCATTCACTAACCTCAATTATCTCCCTTTAGTAAAGGTACAGAATAAAATTATTTACAATAGTTTCACAAATGAGGTAATCAATTGCATGTTCAAAAAAAATACTGTAAACCAACTTATTTTTATCGCAGATACATTATTTCACGTTTAGCCCTTTTTATGTGACTTCGTGGTGATTTAATTTCGCAAGTTTTAAAATTTTCTTGTAGTATCTATGTGAGGGGAAATCCAAATTTTACATATTGCTTATTTTTATACTTGCGAAATTCGTAAAAAATAAATTTCTTGTGAAAATAAGTTGGTTATGTCATTTCTAACTACTTTATACATATATTATATGTAATTTAATGATATAGGGTACATGCCAATGAGACAGCAACCTAACACAAAATGAAAAAAAATATAGCACATATACTAGGCCACATCAAATAAATGTTTCCTGTACTGATTTTTTTTTAAAAATAAATAAGTGTGTGAAGTCATAATTTTTCAATTCTTTTTTATGTTTTAAAAGAATAGTGTCTTCAAAAGAGATGTAGAATTCACCTATTCAGAATTTTTAAGTTAGGCACCATATATGTGCAAGCAGCTAGGTCATTTTCTTTAAAATTTTCAAAACCAGCACCAATTGTGGTAGAATGATAGGACTTGTGCACTGGATACTGGGAAAATCCTTTTTTACAAAAATATTTCTTGTTTCAAAATTCCAATAGGGAACACATATTACATTATTGTAGTAATTAAACCATTCTTAAGAAGTTTTGGCCACTGGCCTTCTCAAGTTTTTTTACTGTAATTATATATAAAATATTTCTTTCAAAACTTAGTGTTTCAAAAATCTAATGATTAATAATTCTCTATCTGATGTGGCCCTATGTTATCTGTCTCAAAGAGATGAAAGCATGAAATACTCGAACAGATCTACTTCCCCACTACAATGATTGGCAAGACAAAAATCGATAAAATATACATCATAATCTCATAAAATTCCCATTATTTACAAAAATATGCAAAAGATGTGCAATAAACAATTGATTAAGGGCATTTTATGTATTAATGTTACAAAAAAAATTCACTGGTACACATCGCAAACAAAAATAATCTGTAGTTGCCATTAATCTCTGGAATGTCGTTTGTGCAATCAATAAAAATTGTATCAAGCAAAAATTATTTGGCACATATAGGAAAATATAAAGACAATGGTCAAATAAGAGATGAAAAAGCTGGAAACTACCAGCTTTCCTGGTAAAACGTGTGAGCTTTCCACTTATCCTAGTAAAATTTCACACTGGAATTGTAATGAAACTAGATCAGAGAAAATGTCTGCTAACTCCAATTACTTAGGATAAGAATAAGAGTATTTGTGAGGGTCTGAATAGGGTTTGCAGAATAGAGAATAAAGGGCCCACAAATAAATAAATAAAGTTGCCTTACAATTACAGAATAGAGATATGAAGACCACCCCCTCCATTCCAGACCCTCATTTGTGTTCTGAAGTCTTTCATTTATTTCATAAAAGTTATTCACAATCAAATCTATTTTTACCTTATCTAAAGACGAAAAGTCAAGTGAAAATAAATTGCTGTGAACTTGTTCTTATTTTTTCTTGATAGGAACATAACTTCTGTTAGTATATTTTGCATACAAATTAGTTTAAAGATAAAACAAAGTTTTCTGAAATTTTGAGGGCTCAAGCAGTACTCAATAACTATCATTTCAATACAACACTGTATTAAATCAAGCACTTTGGGTAAATTTTAAGTTTTAGCAACCTTCAGAAACTGAACTGAAAATTGAATAATGGTTGTCGAATAAAAAGTAAATTCAACAACATTTTAAAAACAGACTCATGTAGACTGAAACAGAATTAGCTAATTAGGCTAATATAAAGATTTCTTGTTCTGTTTGTTAAGGAATTTTTGTTTCAGTTTAGAGAACATTACAAAACAATCAATTGAAATTCAATGCCATACAATTTCCTATGGATCCTTCCACTGTGGTTATTAACCAATTACCCCAATTTTGGGAAAGGACTATTATAATGTTTTCTGGACTAGGTAAATGAAGGTCTTTCGACCAATCAATGCCCAGAATTACAAAATTTTTGTCTTTGTTTGTGATAACAAGTGTTCCCTGTAAAAAAATAGTTATAAATTAAATGATAAATCTCTTGGCATTTTTCTCTTCCATGGATACCATAATCAGTGCTGATTTTAGACAGTTACATCCTCAAAGGTTAAATTTCTAGTTTCAATGTCAATTATCTGCAAAGAAATTCACAACTGATTAAGAGTACATTCAATAAAATAAAGTATTTATACATTCCTACTGATAAAAGAACTCTACATATTGTACATTTATGGATAACTGTATTGTTTACTAGTTATTTCCATGATTAATCATCTCCCACATGTGTACCTTCTTAAACATTTGAAGCATTTATTGAGATACCAAAGAATGTCACTAAAATCAACTGTCTATGGGTAAGTGTTACCTCGATCCTGCCTAGGGTTGATATTATTGATATAGGCAGAATCTATAATTGTTTACATTCTCATCCTTTGGTCTCTGGTGAATAGTTGTCTCATTGACAATCATACATCTCCTTTGTTTTTTACAGTATATCTTTGCTTCAAGCCCTCTGACACTCCTTTCTACTATTATATATCATTATACTTCTTACAAAAATTGTTTTTACCTATAAACTGTCTGATCTGAGCTTCTAGGTGACCTATCCTTTCATTTTTCTGAAAATAAATAAAATGCTTTCTTAGTAAATAAATATTTAATCACCAAAATATGTATTATTTGTTAAATATTACATTTACTCTTTATTTTTACGAAAATCTTAGTCTGATAATAAAACATCTTTTTGTTTTGAACCATTTTCTTCCTTTACTGAAAAAATCCACATCTTTCTCAAATTTTCTTTCTTCTTGAAAAAAATTCTACAAGTGCAAACTAACCTTTTCTCCTTCCTCTTCTAAAAATGTTACTCTTTTTTCTAAAACTTGAACCTGAAATATAAATGGCATTTAATACAACAAGAATAACAATTGTCAAATAAATTCCTTCTGAACTTTATAAACTTTAATATTTTCAACTGCATCATGCAATATAATTTTCTTAGGTATATAATAAACAGCTTTTGTCTGACAGATCTGTCCCCTAATGTAAAATATCATCTTTTCTTCAAGGGAACTTTCAATTTTATCATCATCATACAAATATTCTATAAGAATTTGTGGCTGACGGAATAATGGACAAACAGACACACAGACCAGGAAACATATTGCCTCCTACTATAGAAGGTGGGGCAGAAATACGCCAGCGCAAAATATAGGAAACTAATGACTTTATTGAATTAAAGTCTGTAATATTGAACAAAATATTAACAAATAGTATATAAAGTAGGAATACAAGATCCACTGGGTGTGTGTTTTGTAACTTACCGGTATTTCAGTTTCTAAATTCTATATATAATACAAATCTTACCTTTTTCAAAATTTCTACAAGATCAATGGATTTCCTGAAAAATGAAAATGCATGATGTTAGATATCTAATTCGTCAAACAGTTTTCTTAAAATTAAAATGCAAAGCAAACTTTGATCAACCTTCATTTAATTCATCAAACAGTTTTCTTAAAATAAAACAAAGCAAACACCAATCAATCTTCAATCTTAAAATAAACTGAACAAAGTTACCAGAATTTTAGCCTTTATATTCATTCTTCACGGCTTGTATGTAGATATTGTTGATGAAAATGATATGTGCTCAAATTTTACCCAAAAATGACATTAACTGTTTTATTGACCTCTGACCTTTGTAAGACACATAAACACCATAAAATAATGTGTAAGAGGACTTTCTTTCAGGATATGTTAAATGACCTTTTTATAAATGGTTCCTTTCTTCCAATGAAAAATTCAAAACATGGTTCCCTACCAAAATTTTTATTTTCAAATGCATGTATCTAAAAAAAAAAAAATAGAACACAGTCCTATAGCCTTATGTACTTGACATTTTTTTATTTAAAAAGAAATAACTCATGAAAATGTTATTTTGAATCTATGCAATTCATGAAAATGTTATTTTGAATCTATGCAATTCATGAAAATGTTAATTTGAATCTATGCAATTCATGAAAATGTTATTTTGAATCTATGCAATTCATGAAAATGTTATTTTGAATCTATGCAATTCATGAAAATGTTATTTTGAATCTATACAATTCATGAAAATGTTATTTTGGATCTATGCAGTGAGAATATTCTTACTCTGATATGGTAGTTGTTGTTGATTCTGTTTTATCTGAGATCTCATCATTACAACTAGGTGGACTAAGGGCTTCACTTGATGAAAACATCTTTGCTGCTGTGTCAGAATCTAGACTTGAACCAATTCCTGATGAGTTAGGAGGACTCAGATTTAAGCCTGCTGGCTGACTCAAATTTGTTGGGTTTGAATGACTGTTAGATACTACTTTTGTTTGATGTTTTGTAGAAGAATTGAGGTTTATTTTGGTAGAACTTGTTATCCGTGGACTAGAACATCTTGGAGATGAACCATCAGAGCGAGGAGAAGAATGAGCATTTAACATGGCAATACGTTCACGTACACCTAAAGAAATGTCCTCCTCAGATAGTCCTGTATTGGAATCTTTGGATGAATTTATAGCACTATTGTCTTTGGAATGGGATGAAGAATTAGAAGGAATATTGTCATGAGAATCAGTGGAATTATTAAATTTCACTTGTCTTGGTGAACTATCCCTTTCCGGAATATCATAAGGACTAGCATCTAAATCAGTTAACTTCTGAAAGGCTTGGTCAATAATACTCTTTCTCCTTAATTCTGACACTGTTGTCTCTATTTCAGTAGCAATACCCACTAATTTGGGATCACTTAAATGATCCTGGTTTGACGAAAATTCTGGATATGTTGGAGAACTGGAATGTAAGGGGAATGAAGAGTTAGAATGATTCACTGGAACTTTGTCAACAGTCACAGTAGTTTCTTTTGATTTTTTATCTTCCAAAATACCAGACTTGCCCATGAGTATACTTTTAGCCTGGTCTAAAGTCAAATCATTAGAATTCTGCCTCTTTGCCATGGTAGCCCTTTTTAAGAAAATGTCCTGTTTTGCATTTTTAGCTTGTTCTTGTTTTAATTTGGATGGCAAATTTTGAGGAGGTGGCATCAGGTCTTTATCATTTTTCGAAAATTTTGATTTTGCAGAATCTTTCGGTGGATTAGCAGGCAATGACAACCTGCCGCTACCTCTTAACACACTGCCTTCCCCGCGAGAGGATGAGGACGACCTTGGAGGTCGTTTAGGTGTACCTGTAGAGTATCTCGAAGGTGGCGTGTCTATATCTAACAAATCAGGTGTGCTACTAGATAAATTTAGACGAGCAGACGACAATAGATTTGACTTATTCCCCCTTGATTCCACATCTATGTCCATCAAATTAGGCGATGACGCATGAAATCCTTTTTTCTTTATAAAATTACTCCTCCTTTTGGCAACTGGTCCCTTTGATTTTGAAGTGTCTGAACTATCAGATAATTCGCTACTTTTGGGAGTATTTAATATATTTGAAGAAGATGGTGTTTTGGTTATTTTGGCTTTTGAACTTTCTGTTTTTTTCATGTAACGATGAGCACCACTCTGTGACTGAGATCTTAGTTCTCGTTTAGGAGTTTCATTCAATGTTTTAGAGCTTTCTGATCTTCCTAAGCGTAGGGTAGATGGTCTTGAAGACTTCTTATCAGATTTAGTGCTTCGTCCAGAACTGGACGTTTCACTTCCAGTTTCTGAATCTCTATCCCAAGCTGGAGACCCTGAAAAATGAAATGAAAAAAACATATTACTGTTAAATAAGACATCACTAAGCATCCACAAATTATCTATACAGTTACAAAGATACATGAATTAATAAAAATCAAAAACTTATCTTACTTAGTACAGACTAATGGTGACTAAATGTTGAACTTTCAAGAAATTTGATTGATGCTAGATTCATGCTTCTACTGCCATGTCAATGTCTGATAAATGATTAATAACTTCTCCCAATTATAAACTTGCAATGATTAATTACCTGAAAGTCTCCTGGTTACTCCCCCTATACTTTATAAAAATAAGGAGATGTGGTATGGTTGCCAATGAGACAACTATCCACCAAAGTTCAAATGAAGTGAATTTGTTTATCTTTTGCCATTAAATAAAACTGTAATCGTGATTTCCAACTTGGTTTCAATATTTTTGGGATAATTTTCAAATTTAACTTGAACAGACTGTTGTATCGCACCTCTTTGTAAGTGAATTTTTCATTCTACAATGTTCAACTTACATATTAAAAAAAATTCTTGATGTGGAAGACTATACAAGTATTAAATACAATCTATATTATTGTTTTCCAAAAAACACATTTTTCAAATGCACAATAAAATATTCATTTGATTTTTAAAATGTTTAATTTATTTCTATGAATAATGAGTGCATTTAAATATTTTGTATACACGTTTAAATAAAATATCCTTCACCGCGTGTCTAGCACACTGAAAAGTTGGAAGCAAAACTATTCTATGAATATATATAATGTTAGGTGAAGATTTTTTTTTACTAAGAAATGAATATATATATATATATAGATTTAATACAAACAATATGGATATCACCAATTCTAAACAATTTTGGAGATCTTTATTTTTTTCATATAAAACAACTAAATGAAAAATGCATTACAAATAAATTTTGTTTTTTTGCAGTGTAAGAAAGAAAATGTTTCATTTCTGAGGTAAGAGTTCAATGGTAATAATTAAATCTACTAAAATAACATTTGAAACTCGAAATATCAATCTTTTTAAAGAAATTTTACAGATAATAGCACTAATAAATTGATCCCCAGCATTATAAAGTATGGATAAGTTATTTCCTATATAAAGATTTTATGGTAATGTCTGTAATAGAAGGAAAAACATGGCAAAACAGGTAGATTTTTACTGGTAAAAAAATAATTTAAACGAATCAACCACTTGCATTTTACAACATCTATTTATTAATTTGTGACTATTACTCAACTGAACAAAGGATACTCAACATTAACTACGGGTAAAATATGTCTTTTTTAGCAGACATGGAAAGTCATTAAGACATTAAGAAAGTGCTAAAACTATTGGTAACAAATAAAAAACACAAACATTGAAACTCAAATATAATTTGTGTCAAACAACCCTTTTCTCAAAGCTGACAAGTCATTAAGGCCACATGAAGTTAAGTCTTTGAATCTCATCCTCATATTCAAAAATAAAAAGAGTAAGAGAGGAACTTTTTAAAAAAATGTTTGGTTGATTTTCACCAAAATGACTCAGAATTTATAGATATTAAATCTTTTTTTATTCATAAACTGTGGATTCATTTATTTTTGTGGGTAACAATTTTCATGGATGGAGGAGAACTTGCATTTTCAAGTATATTTGATTTTCCTTGTTTTAAACAATGTATGCATACATTCTTATAGAAATTTTTATTTCGTTGAACATTTAAATTCGTGATTCCCCTACACCCACAAAAAATTGGTATCCAATGAATAATAATGAATCTACAGTACGATTGAAAATAAATAATCCATCGAAGTGAGGGAACAATCTAAAATTTATACATGTGGCCTAATGCTAAAAATATGCTGAAATGCCATAACATTGCATGTACACGTATACAAGTACTACATAAAATACATCAAAGATGTTAGAAATATATATTTGATAATAGGTATTATGAAAAAATCTGGGTAATGTTGCCATTCGCAAATATTTCTTTTTGTCTGAATAACATCTGCAACAAATGCAAACATAACAATTTGCAATTAGTAGAAGCTTAACTTCAATGCTTAACTATCTATGTGTTAATTATTGAACAGGGGACAAGTTCAAACTTTCGAACTGTTTCCATGCTTTTGGCAACTTTACCCCTGTGAAGTCTACTAATAAAAGCAGGTGTTGGAATCTGACTACGCCACTGTGGTCTGTGTGTGCCAGAAGGCAATATAGTTTTACCAATGCTTTTTCTGATAGGCGTGCTAGGCGTGGATCTACTTTTGAATGGAGGCATTTTCTCTTCTATGATTGGTTGCTTTGGCAAGTCAAAGTTTGACCAGCTCATGCGTAAAGTGTTTGGTGTTCTTGGGCCTTAAATGCAATGGAAATATTATAGCACTAGCATATATATATATGTATGTTATCATTTGTATGACAAATTCATGTTTCCTTATATGGTCTGACATGCATCATTGCCTACAGCATGCCTAACTTAGCGTTTTTATTTCAAAGTCATATTCACTAATTATAAAAAAAATATGTGGTAACTTGCATCTTCCATACAAAAATATGTGGTTATGGCTTCTGTAAATGCCATTTAGTAAAACAGCAGAAACCATGTACATGTTGAACAATTTTCTCGTAAGTGGTCAGGGCTAATTAAACTGTTACAACCAAAATTTGCATACAAGATCTTTCATAATGCTATCTTAATAAAATGAAGATCTGTTTGGAATAATTTCAGTTATTCAAACCCTAGTTGTCAAAGTGGAAGTGAGGTATTTAAGAAAAAAGTCATATGAAGCACTCAGTTTCCCTGAACAATACTGGTTAAGATATCTAATAAATGTTAAAATAGCTCTAGATAAAATGTATATGTTATTAACTGTAACTGGTTCCAAGAAAATAAGTTTAAGAACACTTGTATCAGTAAGTGTCTATAAGAGCTAAAAACTGACATCTGTTAAAATCTAAGACCTCCATGAAGCAATATTATGTTTTTTTTATTTAAGTAAATTTGTTTAAAAAGCCTTTAGAGCAAAACTAAATAGAATTGACCCTTGTAAAAAATGCTTTGTAAATAAATATTTTCTTTAGAAGTCCTCTTTGTCTAGATATTGAGAAAATATTTATTCAGATTTTTAGTACCATCCTAATATAACAGTTCAAAGGAGAAAAAGAGCAATACATTTAAAAAACGTGAATTAGTTATAATGGTGCCAAAAAGGAATGTGTGAAGGTAATTTTAATATATAAGTGATTTATCAAAAAGGTGAATGTGAATTTATATACTGTAAAATAATTTTTATTCCTTGTGTACCAGTTTTGTTGGTTCTTTAATTATCCTAGTTGACCATGTGTTTTTAAAGTTTAAAAACGTCACCTGATTTTAAAGGTAAAAGTCTGAAACTAGACATTTTTTTAGTTGAGGGCTTCGAAGCCACAATTATTATCAGTGATTATAATAACTAATGTAATAAATCTACACTATACTAAACTTTGTATTTTCCCTAAATACCGATTGTAAAAATTTCTTGTATTAATTTTCCGTGTTAAATCTTGTAGGTAAAAAATTATAAATGAACAAGAATGTGTCCATATAACACGGATGCCCCACTCGCACAATCATTTTCTATGTTCAGTGGACCGTGTAATTGGGGTCAAAACTCTAATTTGGCATTTAAATTAGAAAGATCATATCATAGGGAACATGTGTACTAAGTTTCAAGTTGTTTGGACTTCAACTTCATCAAAAACTACCGACCAAAAACTTTAACCTGAAGCGGGACAGACAGACGGGCGGACGGACGAACAGACCAAAAAACATAATGCCCATAAATGGGGCATTAAACTACTTCCTCATTAAAACACATAAATGAAAATGTCCTTATTATAAAATGTCCTCATTAAAAATTGTCTAGGATAAAAAATCTAATTTTTTCTTACGTTTATGAATGTCCTCTTCCTTTGGCAAGAAGCTATTCGTCACTTTTGTATCCTAAAAAAATAAAAAATTAAGATATCCACATTTCCTTTTTCTTGCAAATTCTGTGGTGCTTATGTAGCGTTTTGATATAGAATTTGTGTATAAAATAGCGTGCTGTGGAGAATATATGAACTTATTTTTTATGTTTGCTACATGAATCAAACTGTTTCACTTGAGTAATTTTATTTCAACAGCTAAAATTTTTTTAAATAGCATCTACTGTGGGTCCAAATTTTCTTAAATTGGAATTGGAAAATCACATTTTCATGGAACCTTGAATTCGTGGATTTGCCAAAGTTTCCAAACAAGCCTACAGGAAATTCATATTTTGTTGAACATTTAAATTTGAGGTTTGCCTCAACCAATGAAATCCACAAAAAATTGGTAGTCAACAAATAATAATGAATCCACAGTTTAACAAAATAGAATTGACCAACTGCAATAAAATGAGCAGATATATGAATGGTATCAGTACTTACATGACATGGTGATGACAGGGCACTCTCTACCTGTTCTGATTCTGGACTATCATCCTTCCATGCCATCTAAATCATAAAACACATCAATATGTTAAATTAAGAAGCCATTTAATCACAATTTTACCTTCTAATCCATTCTCATATTTTGTTAAATGTTGTAATTGGTTGATAAAAAAAAACCAATTATATATTTTTATTTTGATAAAGAAAGTTATGGATATACCAAAAATAGAAATACCCACATTTCTTGAGACAGTTAGGAAGAAATTACATTTAAGTTAAGAGATAACCAAAAGTTTTGGCTATAAAGTATACCTTTCATTCAATTTTTCTGATTTTCAGATTTCAATTTCATGATTTTACTAGCTTTAGAGAGAGTAGACCAAATCTGACCAAACAAGGATTATAAAACATAATGTGACATCGATCTTAAATTACTGCAAAGGCATTATTTATTGGCTGGATGTCATTAAAATGTAATCTACATCTGAAATTGAAACTTAAATTTCAATGCTTTTGGAGAAACCTGTACAATTATTTAGTTTGACCTCATCTCCTGATATTTTAAATTCATGTAAAATTTTACATATGTCCAGTCAGCACCAAAAACTATTTTTACACATGAAATTTAGTAAACCTTGTATTTTTGTGGAATCATACATTATGAATATTTCCACTACCTTTAATTACCAGTATATTTTTTCAATTAACTAAGCATATGTAAAATAGAGAATGTCAAATAGGTTTTTTATATATATAAATCCGTATCAACTGGAGACACCAATATTTTCCCATGAACTCTGCTCGAGGGGTTATATTGTTAGAGGGTTGATATTGGGTTTGATAAATCCTTTGTAACCAAGACTGATATTGATAACATGATGTCACACAGATTAGGATATCATCATGGATGGCTGATACAGAATCATTGCCATTGATTGTATTACACATATAAGTTATTTGCATAAAATACTAAGCATATGCTAAGATTGTGTATCTTACAGCTTGGTATTGACAGTTCAGAATGTCAGACAGGTTTTAGAATGGTGTGAACAAACTTAACTTCCTTTTTAAAACATTGCTGTGATGACTTAAACTGGAATCTTAAATTGTAACATTTCCTCATTTCTGAAACTTATTCTAAAGTAATCACATTCTTTTTCTATAAAAACACTTTTTAAAAATAAAATTGCATGAAACAAAAAAAATATATAGTTATTTGTTAAATCAAAATGTTTATTCAAAAAAGCACATGCAAAATAAGAACAATATTAGAGCAATATAACATGCATTGTAATTTCAAATTTTAGTTAACAGTGAAAAAGTGTAAAACAAATAAAACCAATATTTTTCATCAATATTTTTTTATCAAAATCCAATGCATCAGAAAAGCTGGTTAAAGTTTTAATTGAAGCTATACACAGAGTATAGGAATAAAACTGTTATGTCACAATTAAGTACAACAATTGATACTTCAGGATCAAAATGTACAAAATCCTTTTCAACTGATCTTAGGAAAGTAAGTGAATAACTCTATTGAATACTGGTATAATGAACAAGTTCTTCAATTTTTCAGAAGTCCTGATAGGCTGCAGCAACCAACAACTTGACCTAACGGCAAATGAACCACATTTTAAACTTCATATTTAATGGCTAGTAATAAATAATGTTATGAAAAAGACAACATCTGCAGATATAGGTAGAATCAGATCCTGCTGCAAGATTTCAAAGCTGAAAATGGTCTATTTATAGAACGTATGAAACAGATAATTCGACTTTCACTTACAGCTTCAATTTTCTTCCTGGTTTCATCAACAGTACGAGCCATTTCAGACTTTCTTCTTTGAAAAGACTATAAATAAACATAGGTGCAGTCTTGAATTTTCATTACATAATAAAATAAAATTTAAGTTGCAATTATTTTAAGCTAAAACATTCAGTTTCATAACTATAAAAAATTGATATCAGTATATGAATTCAATAATGAAAATTATCCTACAATTCATACAAGTTTTTGCTGTCCAAGTTCCAAATAATTTTATATTCATAAGCCAAAATTATTTGTGATGTACTACACAACATCTGTCATCCAGGAAACCTCTAAAAAATAAGGATAGAACATGAAAAAAAATCTGCAAAATAAACAGGTTATCCTAAAACTATATACAAGCCATTCCATAAAACAAATAAACAAATGTTGAACAAAAAATGTGACCAAAACAAACCATGTGAACAACAGATATGAACTACTACATGAATCCACGACAAACAAAAAAGGTGGTGCTCCTCCATTGGAGGACCATATAATATCCCACAATATGAAATTAAAAAATAACTCCCTCTCCAATACCTTTGGCCTTTTTATCTGAAAGGTTTCCTTAAATGCTTTCAGTTCAGATAACATGTGCTGAAAACAAAACGTTTTATCTTAAAACTCATATATTTCATTCGTCTTTAAACTAATTTTTATATTATAACTACATGTTTATTATTTTGTATTACGTCTTTGTTTAGCAGAAACCCTGCATGGGGATACATTGTAATTACAATTTATTCAGAGCTTTAACCACAGCCAGTAGGAACTGTTTGTATAATAGTGATCCTAAAAAAAGAGTCATATTCAGGTACTTGTCATTAACTGATCATGACATTTGAGTCAGTGATCACATTTAAACAAGACCCAGTAATCACAGTCAGGACCTCCATGCAGAGTCTCATTAAAATCTAATCATTTGTTCACTCATATAAATAGCTGTAAGAAAACCATATGTTATCATGTTAAGGTTTTAATCAAAGCTATTACTGGAATATTTTGATATAAGATATCAAGTTTAAATATATGACTCCAGATACTGACTTTTCTGATTGGCTGAGGTCCTTAGTTACAGTTATTTTTTATCTAATTCTTTACATAATGTAATGCAAGGTGCCCAAAATGTTCCTACACCTTTACAAAGCCAAATAAAGTAAACTGTCAAACTGAAAGCTTATTTCAACATTAAAAACAAGAGTTACAGAAGTTGGTACTGATTTTGTCAAACATACTAAAAAAATCATATAAACCTCAGCGTTTGGCCTCTCTAAATGTTATATTCTTAGACTAAAAAACCTTGTATCTACCTTTTCAAAAGTCACTAACTGAATAATGTCTCAATGGACCATAACTTTTGAAAGGAGAGTTCTGTGGTTTATACCTAAGGTAAAGGAGAATATTTTCACCATTTTTTTGCATGATTTCTAAAACCAATTTATGAAGAAAGACCCATGATCCTACTCATATGTCTTTCTTCACAAAAAACACTGACTTATCACTGTGTCTTTCTAAAGGAAGCAAATATCAAATTTATATATTTGAAGCATCTCCAAAAAAAATCTCATTTTGATCAAAAAATTATCTTGAATTTCTTGGCAAATTGAGTCTAAATTAGAACATTCTTTGGCATAGAATTCGAACGTGACATGCAACGTTATGTTATGTGTTACGATTTCATGCAGTAACTGTTCAGTAAATGGGATACTTACATCATACCAATTGTCTGACTTCTGTTGTACTGCCATATTCCTGTAAAATAGTTCATTTTCACTTATAAAAATAAATACAGAAAACAAATATTTATGTCAGACATAGGACAACATATGAATGATTGAAGATTTCCTTTTTTTTTAAATTAAATATCAGCTGATATAACAAATATATTCCTGGTTTACTCCCAACTGAGAATTTTGTAAATTGATAACAATCTTAAAAGTACAGTAAATTCAGAAATTATCGTGTGCATTTATTATTGCGAGTTTGAAGAATGGACAAAATGTGAAATTAATTATTGCAATTCAAAGAAAATCTGTATACAGATACATATATATATCAGATATGAGAATGTGAGTTCTTATCATTGTGATACTCACCCAGTTTCTTTATTAGCAATACTAAAATCCTTGCAATAATTTCTGAATTTACAGTACTTAAATTTGCCGATTTATGTAGCTTGGATTATCCTATATTTTGAATACTGAAATGATTACTTGTGAAATCAGACATGTAACTGCAAACAATAATTAATTCTGTTCACTGATATAATACTGCATTGATCTTTTTTGATAGTTTCCTAAGAATGCAATATAAACAAGAATGTGTCCATAGTACACGGACGCCCCACTCGCACTATCATTTTCTATGTTCAGTGGACCATGAAATTGGGGTCAAAACTCTAATTTGGCATTAAAATTAGAAAGATCATATCATAGGGAACATGTGTACTAAGTTTCAAGTTTATTGGACTTCAACTTCATCAAAAACTACCTTGACCAAAACCTTTAACCTGAAGCGGGACAGACAGACAAAGGGACGGACGGACGAACAAACGGACGCAGAGACCGAAAAACATAATGCCCCTCTACTATCGTAGGTGGGGCATAAAAAAAAGTTTACAGTAATGGCATTTCTTTAGTAATATACCCTGAACTTTACTGCATTTCACATGATTTTTTCATGGTGTAGATACATTTACTGCAGCTTTCATATTTTCTTTTTGTCTTAACCTCTTAAATCTCTTACAGTAGCATGTTTGTCTTCAGTGCTGAAAGGCCATGGGTTATATTTCCAGGAAAAGCAAAAATATTGAATGAAATTAGTTTTTGGTTTTTCTCCCTAAGCAATGTGCATTTAGGACTGAAAGTAAGTAGTTGGGTTTGGAGTCAGAAAAATGTGTCTAGGTAGTGTTATGTTCTCCTGTAGAATGTTGCCTCGTAAGCAATAGCATCAGAAATCCAGGTCAGTTTATAACCTAAAATAGAGTATGTTCATCTGACATTAACATGTTATTGTCCTGAATATTTATGTAATATTTGCTGCACGATATAAATCAACCACATATCAATCAATTCAATATTAATTCACTCATACAGATCTTGTATACAATAATTATTCAATAGTAGTAGAAGTTGATTTTACAGAGGAAAAAAATACCTTGGATTTTTAGACTGAAATCTTGCAGATAGGCTCATTCTGAGATCTGGCTGACAGCCAGTCTGTTTCTCCAAGTCTTCCAAACTTCTCTCAAATCTGTCCTTTGGGATGGGGGAAAATGCCAAATTTTCAAATGTATCCTGCAGGAATTTTTCCTAATAAAAGAGAATGTTTAAAAGACATTTATAAAAAGGCAATCAAAATCAGTAAATACAAAAATAAAAACTCTCCTTCCATTTCTTATGAAAGTAAGAATATTATTTGCTGTTTACTTTTCTCAATTTTTCTTGTTACTACATATTCTTTGTCAGTGTGTTTGTGCTTATTCAAGATGTTCACAATCTTGATTTTATGGTAGAGGCTTGTACATTGGGTTTTTGACTTGAAGAATGTTATTCTAACTTTCAAAGTATTAACCATGATTTAAAACTGTATAGCAATGGTCAAAGACTTCCTAAATCAATAGGTGTTTCTTTGTATCCTTCATTAAGTTAAACTGTAGATCTACCTACTCATTTATTTTCAGATACCATTAATCTGATATGTAGCTGTATTTGAAGAAGAGTTACATATCCTGTTCTAAGATATCTGATACCATCTGGCTGTCATAATCTGAGTATTGTGTTTAAAGGAACTGAACAGTTACCTACCCTTATATGTGATTTCTACACCTGAAAGTGTGTTTGTATTTCACTGATTTTTTGTTTTCTTATGTGCCTTCATCTGAATTGCAGTGCTTCATTTGTATAGAGTTAGCTATCCATTTTTCTTTGTTTCTGATACCTTTCATATGAAAGTGTGATTGGATTTTAAAATTTGTAAAATTTTTGTGTTTTCTGATGTGCCTTCATCAAAATAAGGTGCTTGATTTGTATCGAGTTACCTACCCTTTTAATTGTTTTTTATTACCCTTAATCTGAAAGTGTGATTGCATTTTATTGATTTTGTGTTTTCTGATGTCCTTTATCTAAATAAGGTGATTGATTTGTATAGAGTTAACAACCCTTTTCTCTGTTTTTTAATAACTTTCACCTGAAGGTGTTGTTGATTTAACTGATTATATGTGTTCTGTTATCCTTCATCTGAATGGGTAGCTTTGTTTAAAAGGAGTTACCTAACCTGTTCTGCGTTTCCTAAATATCCTTCATCTGAATGTGTAGCTTCATTCAAATTAAGTTACCTACACTGTTCTGTGTTTCCTAATATCCTTCATTTAAATGGGTAGCTTTGTTTAAATGGAGTTACCTACCCTGTTTTCTAATATCCTACATCTGAACTGTTAGCTTGGTCTAAATGGAGTAACCTACCCTGTTCTGTGTTTTCTGGTATCCTTCATCTGAAGGTGTAACTGGATTTGATGGAAAAGAATCATTATCATTTTCATTTTCAATGTCTTCTAATGATACAGGATCTGTCAGGTCTGATTCTGAAATAAATTTGATATGCAGTCAATATGCAAGTATATCTTTCATTTGTATTGACCAAAGAACAAGATATTGCAGATATACTGTAAAAGTATTATTGTTGTGGGGGATACCTATTTCAGTGGACTTCCTTGTTTCCTCAAAACACAAAGTTTAGGACCCAAAGACATAGATATTTTCCATTGAGTCTGCTTGCTTAAAGTATCACATTTCCATGTTCAGTGAATCCTTCATTTGGCAAATATTTCAAATAAAAAGCTGCGCCATGAGCGCATGATACACCCGTCGTTTTTTCAAAGAATAAAGTTCCATAACTCCTCAATGTCATATCAGAAATTTATAAAAACTAAAGGAAGGTTATTTTAATAGATATAAACCAGTCACCATATTTCATGAAAACTGCTCAAAGAACTTTTGAGTTATTGTCCCAAAACTGGAAAATCCCACTTTTTTAATGAAAAAACTCCAAAACTCAGAAACATATAATCTAAATTTTATAAAAATCAAAAGGGAGCTCACGTCAATAGATATAAACAATTCACCAAAGTTTCATGAAAACTGCTCAAAGCATTTTTGAGTAATTCTTCGATAACTGGAAAACCTCCCTTTTTTAATGAATAAAACCCCACAACTCAAAACGAAAATGCAAAATTTATAAAACTTGAAAGGGAGCTCACGTCAATAGATATAAACAATTCACCAGTTTCATGCAAATTGGTTAAAGCATTTTTTAGTTATTGTCCGACATGTTGAAGACGGACGGACAGAGGTATACCATATTACTTCCCGTAAATGGGCGCATAAAAATTAATATCATAATGAACTTGTGTTCTAAGTTTCAAGCCAAGTTTAAGAGTGACCACAACTTCTTGGTAAACTATCTTAATTCAAAACTCTAACCTAATACCGGATGGCAATAAATATCAACTTAATTCAAATGTAAAAGTAAGTTTTTAATTCTCACATTAAAAAAAATGTCACACTTAACTTGGGCATTTTGCTTGCCAGATTCAATGACATTTTTTTTTTGCATTAATTAAAAAACTTAGACTCTGCAGCAAATTAAAAAAAAAATTTTTTGGCAAGTTTATTGAGATTTTATTATTTGTTTTACCTGCATCTTGACTCTTGTTGGTCAAACTACGTCTCCTATTCTCTCCTAAGCCAGGAAATATTGTGAAAGCACTACAATTAAAAGAAGATCTATTGAACACAAAATATATCCATTAGAATGTAACTGTCAGAACCATTATATGTAAACCATATATTAATAAATATGTATTTGTGTGTTTATGTATATCTAATGTATATGGTGAAATTTTGGTAACAATCTTGTAATTATATAAAAATAAATGGAGAATGTATCCATGGGACACAGATGATGACCCCCCCCCCCCCCCTTTGGCAAATAACTTTAAAAAGGGACATAACTAGAGAAATGTAACAGTGACGCCACCCAAATCAAACATGATCTGTGTTTTATGGTAATAAACATTGTGTAAAAGTTTCATAATATTTGGTTGAAGCAAACTAAAGTTAGAGAATGGAAACCAATTTTGGGACAGACAAAGGTAACACTTAATGCCCCCTTTGCCTAGTGGCTGGGGCATAAAAAAAAACATGAAATCAAGTATCAACAAAAGTGTAACTTTTATGCAAACCACAAAAACTAATATCAATGGAATCATATGAAACTGAGCATACTATACTGAATTGATAACAAATAAAATCCAAGTGAGTTTTTGATTGAAAACAAGTGCCATAGTTATTCTTGAAATAGCGCTAGCATTGGTGAATGTTTGGATGGTGTTCAAAGAATGTTGTGTATAAACTGCAATATGTCCCCCCCCTCCCTTTTCTTTTCTTCTCTTCTTTGAACATCATCAAAAACCTATTTGAAAATTTGAAGAATTGAATGAGATTAAATGAATTGCACATGTTCATTTCCATTATAAAAGTCGGGAGTAGGCTGTTGTAAGAGTTACTGTATGACTGACAGGGCCAATACATGCTGACATATATTTATCCCTATGTGTTGACATTGTTATGCATGAGGCACAATTACCTTTCATTATTACTGGATGAATCTTCACTAGGCAGATATATAACATCGCCTTCTTGTAGTTCATCCATACTGTCACTTCTCTGAATGGCTGTCTATAACATTCAAAACAGAAATCTTCATTAACAATTGGCACGTGCAAGCAATTTTTTTTTTTCATATATTTGACTCATTTTTCAAAGTTTCATTGTTTTTTTTTTGTTGGATTACTATAAAGATATGATTAAAAGTATCTTTTAAAATTGCCAGATACAATTCTATAAACAAATTCTGATAAGTGGAAAATAAACTAAAGCTGTCCACATAGTTGGAATATACCCCTTGAACAATGCCTTTCCATTATACATATGGATACCAAGTTTGGTCAACCTAAGTTTTACAGTACAACAGTTGTGTCCAAGACACAAAGTGTGACAGATGGACAGACAGACACTCATATTCCTATATACCCTCCAAATACAAAGTACAGGGATTTTATATTCATTTATTATTAAAATATGACAGTGAACATCGCAATAATAAAAGTTTGAGTCTTAATTTTTACAAACAGTAATACTAATCTATAATAGCACTCCAGTTGCTGGAATTAAACTGTAAATTGTTTTGCTTAATATTACATTACAGAAATTCAAGGCCTTTTAAATGACCAGTGCATGCTGACCACTACATTTCAAGTTCACAGTTTGACTTAAAGACTTTCAAGTCCACCACTAAAATTAAAGATTTTAAATCTTAATGAATACGTCTTTCTTCTAGGTCATAAGATTACTTAATATTATTGGTTTACATAATTTTTCTAAGGATTTTTTTCTGAGTTGTGGAGTAATGAGATAGTAACCAAACGACACATGTACAAAAATAAATGTGGAATGTGTCCATGGGACACAGATGATGCCACCGCTTGCATATCATATAAAGTTATAAAGGGACATAACTGAAGAACAGTAAAAGAGACGCTACCCAAATTTGTACTTGATCTGAGTTTTGTGGTAATAAGTATTGTGTATAAGTTTCATAAAATTTTGTTGAGGCAAACTTAAGTTAAAGAACGGAAACAAAAAAATCAGCAATTTTTCCATTTGTAAAGGGGCATAATTCTAGAACAGTTGAAGTGACGCCACCAAAATTCAAACTTGATCTGTATTTTGTGGTAATAAGCATTTTGTATAAGTTTCATAGCATTTGGTTGAGGCAAACTAAAGGTAGAGAACGGAAACGAAAAATTCAGCAATTTTTCCATTTGTAAAGGGGCATAACTCTAGAACGGTTAAAGTGACGCCACCAAAATTCAAACTTGATCTGTGTTTTGTGGTATTAAGCATTGTGTACAAGTTTCATAACATTTGATTGAGGCAAACTAAAGTTAGAGAACGGAAACCAACTTTTGGACGTACGTACGGACGCATGTACGAACGTATGTACGAACGTACAGAAGGACAAGGGTAAAACTTAAAGCTACGGCGGGGGCATAAAAAACAACTAAACATACCATCTTCAACAATATATTAAGCCTTAAACAATATGTAACGCTATCCCCTGTGACTAAAAAGGTGGGAATAAATTTAACAGACTATAAACATCAAAATCTGCTGAAGACCAAAAAACATTAAGATATAACACTACAACAACCTGGTTCCTAACTTGCAACACTACAACAACCTGGTTCCTAACTTGAAACACTACAACAACCTGGTTCTTGACTTGTAACACTACAACAACCTGGTTCCAAACTTGCAACACTACAACAACCTGGTTCCTAACTTGCAACACTACAACAACCTGGTTCCTAACTTGCAACACTACAACAACCTGGTTCCTAACTTGCAACACCACAACAACCTGGTTCCTAACTTGCAACACTACAACAACCTGGTTCCTAACTTGCAAGTGCCACATGTGGAGCAGGATCTGCTTACCCTTCCGGAGCACCTGAGATCACCCCCAGTTTTTAGTGGGGTTCGTGTTGCTTAGTCTTTAGTTTTCTATGTTGTGTCATCTGTACTATTATTTGTCTGTTTGTCTTTTTATTTTTGGCCATGGCGTTGTCAGTTTGTTTTCGATCTATGAGTTTGACTGCCCCTCTGGTATCTTTCGTCCCTCTTTTGCAACCTGGTTCCTGACTTGCAACACTACAACAACCTGGTTCCTGACTTGCAACACTACCACAACCTGGTTCCTAACTTGCAACACTACAACAACCTGGTTCCTAACTTGCAACACTACAACAACCTGGTTCCTGACTTGCAAAAGGCACTTTTTTTTACTTTGTTGCTGTTTTCTTTAGATCCAAAAAGAAACAAGAATGTGTCCATAGTACACGGATGCCCCACTCGCACTATCATTTTCTATGTTCAGTGGACCATGAAATTGGCGACAAAACTCTAAATTTGGCATTAAAATTAGAAAGATCATATCATAGGGAACATGTGTATAAAGTTTCAAGTTGATTGGACTTCAATTTCATCAAAAACTACCTTGACCAAAAACTTTAACCTGAAGCGGGACGGATGGACGAACGAATGAATGGACGCACAGACCGAAAAACATAAGGGCATAAAAAAATAAACCAACTAATCAACCAACCATAGTGAATACACCAAACCCAACATACTTCTAAGAGTCATCTGCTTAGTACTACTATAACAAAATTGTCCTCCTCAAAAGAGGCCTTACAAAAGCCAAATATTCATGGAGTGATGACAGAAGAGAACCCTTTTTCTGAACATATTTTCATATATTTTCAGTAATGGACAATTTTTTAGGACATCATGTGGTATTGACCAAATATTTTCATTATACTTTCCCCTAGATTGCATTTATTGTAACTGATCACTGCTAAAATGTCCCAAAAAGCTGTCTGTTTCAAGTCTTATATATATTATAATTACTAAGTAAAATAAAATAAACTTTTTTCAGTGATCAATTCTAAATTTTCAAAAAAAAATCATTATGAAATGAACTTAATAAAATTGTCAAACAAACCTCATCCCATGTAGTATGACTTTCATCTTCTCTGTGGAATGATGGGAAAAAATCTTCATCATCTTCACCTTGGTTGCTTTCATCATCAAATATAACTGGTATTTTCTGTAAATAGCAATTGTTTATCTTAATTGGTCATGATAAGAATTGTTCAACGATAGTCTAGTTAAAATTCTCCTGACTAATGATGTGATATTAAATATCTTATGTTATAGACATTATCAATACATAATAAATCTGGTTAACTTCCTAAAGAATATTTTTTTTAGGAAGCAATTTTCTAAATTCATGTTCTTTCTTAAGGAGAGAGGGCTGTGAAGACTTCATATGTACAACCTGAAGAAAAAAATGAGTAGATTCGAAGGTGTAACAGTAATCTATAATTCAAATCAATAAGCACACTTTAAAATTCAAAGAAATTTCAGATTTTACTTGTTACAAAAAAGTAAATATCCTAAAATAAATTTCATTTGGGTGTCAAAATAATATTCTAAAACCTTAAGAAGTTATGGTGAGGTTCTCATAAAGACTATGACTTTCAAGCAAAAAACTTCCAAATTAATAAATTTAAATCATAATAAAGTTAAAATAAAAGAAGAATGTGTTTTAGGACACGAATGCCCCTGCTCAAGCTTCAACAAATGAAAATGGGACGGACGGAAAGACAGAAGGTCAAGGGTAACACTTAATGCCCCCGTCACCTACAGCAGGGGCATAAAAAAAAACAAGAAGTCCTAAAAATATCATTAGAGAATATCAAAATCTATTCAAAGCAACAAAAATTATGCATTATTTTATCTGTATAAGAAACAGCAAGAACTATGTGTTATAAGATTATAACAGGTAAATTAACCTAATTGCCTTCTGACTAACAGCGAATAACTGAAGAATTTATCAAAGTCAATAAATCAAGTGTCAACAAATTAATTTTCATCAATCCTTATTCTATTACATAATTATAACAGTAGGTTCCATGTCACTTGCAGTCTTTCCTATGAACCCTTACCCTATTGGTGAAGACTAAATTAATCTATACAGGTAAATGTTGACCAAATTCTTATGACTATCTCAAAACTGAATAATATTTTTAATAAAGATATACATGTATGGTGTAAACTTTGCCATTTGTGTAAATTTAAAGCTATCATTTGTTTAGGACAAACTTGTATATTAAAAAGCATTGTTTAGGATTTAGGGAATACATTGACAGCGAAAATCCTGAAGCATTCCCATTGATAGAGACAGTAATGTTAAGAAACAGATAAGTAAATCCGTATAAACCCATCTATAAAGGCATTGATTGACAAGGATGACACTTAAACCACTACTGACAGATAAAATATGCACTCTAATCCACGACAAATCAAATGTTAAATTCAATAGGCAATTTATATCTGACGGTCAACAACTCGTCTGCATTATTGACAGAAAACATTCATATTTCACTTGGAATTTCTAACATGTAGGTCCCATACATTGTTCTACACATGCCTGCATTACCGAAGATTTGAAATATTCCAATATTAAAATATATTTAATGCAGCAGAAATGATAAGAAGACAGATATGTTATAAGTGAATAGATTATGACAGTTAAGCATCTAAAAATTAATTGAATAGAAGACATATTTCTGACTAGGTCTTGTGTCCTAAGAACAGCATGTAAAAATCACTCACACTTAATAATAACAGCCACAGCCCATAAATTAATACTGGTACACTTCAATTTAATAAATTATGCTTATCTGAGACAGAGTGACAAAAAATCATAGATCAATATAATTTCCTTTCCAAATATCCATTTTTTTGTCTTAAATTAGGTATATCTGGGACAGAGTAAATTGTAATCATGATAACAGATCAAATACAATTTTTCCATCTAAATTTTTACAGGTCTTACTAATTTTGTCAAAAAAAATAAATCTCAATAAATTTCTTCTTTTAAATTATCTGCCATTTTCAGTCTAATAATTATTTTTTTATCTTGAATTGGGAAACCAGTCACTGGATTTAAAACCTGCACATAAGTCAATACAATTTTTTCAATTTCAATAAATTTTCATATCTTCTAATGTCTTTTTTGGTTCTAATTATGTTCATTATTCATAATTCAAATCAAGTTCATTATTTTTGGTGCAAATCAAGTTCATTATTTTTAGGTGCAAACCAAGTTCATTAGTTTTGTTCAAATCAAGTTCTTTATTTTTGTTATTTTTCTATTTAGAAATAAATTCTGGATCAAAAGCATCCCCCCACATTATTGTCAATAGATGTAGCTACGAAATCAAAATATATCAAATATTGGATACAGCAATGTACTGTAATGGTTTCTGTAAATTTGTAAATTTCTGTGATTTTTTTGGTTTTTAGCAATAGCATTTTTAAAATAATTTACTTGCATGTATTCAATGTTTTTTTCCCTAATTGTCAACAGATACAGAAATCCAGACTTAATTCTGTTCAGTATCCTGATTTTTAAGAAATCACACTGGTGGGTCTATTATAAGTAAACTAAGGTTAAGACGGATATATTTTGAGAGTAAAAGTATGAAATATTAAACCAACAAGATTTATTAGCTTTGAATTGGCCCCGATGTAGAATTTATAGCTAGAAATGAACAGATAACTACAATACTTTTAAGACTTTTTGATAATTTTTTTCAATTTAGTCAGATTTATACTTATTATTACTAGACACTCGGTCATGTATTACATCAATATGCTTAAATGAACTATAATTTTCCACTGGTGTCATAAAATTTTTAATTAAAAAAAGGATAATAAATATATCAAATATAATGCTTAAGATGTTTTTTTTTTAAAGATATGTGTCAGTATTTTCATCAATGAATTTGGTAATACATAACTTCAGAGATTCAAACTTTTGCCTCATAATGCAAAAAAAAAAAAATAAACTGTCAAAATTCTATATTTTAAGATCTTATTATTAACATTTATATCTGATAATTTGCAGAAAGATGTTTTATTCTAATAGCTAAATATGGGTAAAACATCTTTTTGAATAAGGCTTTTAAAAATATCTTTTGGTTAATTAGGCTTTAGCTTGTTTATATTTTGCCAAAAACTTCACCAACGTAATTTATGTGTAAAGGTACAGATTATATATCATTGTATACATGTACCATTAAAATTGAAATAATTGAAAATTCAGTTTTAAGCTAATGCAGGTATCATTTTTTTTTTTTCAAATACAAGAAAAAAACACTTACCCTTGGGGTATTTTCCGGATGTGGCATAACCATCGTCTCCCTCCTAATGTTGGGGATATCATCTTCTTCATCATCTCCTGCAGGTAATTTCCGTATGTTCCGGTCTAAAATGTAGAGAATTTGTAAATACACCAAGTCAGATTTATCCATTATTATTTCTTTAATTACAATTAGATTGTGAACTGATTCTGCACCATTTCATGTCTATAAAAATTATACAACTCTTTTTGCTGGCTTCTTTTTTTTAACTATATCATAGCAATCTCCCTGAGGTGCATTAATTCACATCTCCTTTGATTAAATCATCCTTTAAATCATGCTTTTTATCAACATCTGGCACAAGTCAATTCCAATTATTTAGGTGCTTTTTCTCTTCAATTCAATTCCTTTTTTTCAAATATTTTCCTGTCAGTATTGAGTAATTCTCAATAAAACAGAAGTACTAACTTAGTCATTAATTATAAATCCAATTGGAATTCTTTATTTCCACCGTCTCTTTGATCTCTAGAATTATCATTGCAGTAAGTACTTGCACTTCACATAAAACTTAACTCGGAGTATCTTTTCCCAATCTTTCATGACTTTTTACAATCATGCTGTAGATAAGATTTCATTACAATTAAATCTCCTTTGCAAAGGTAAGTTACTTAATCAGACCAACTTATCAAAGTCCAGGTGAAAATCTTCACAGATCATTTCACAGATTAACTTTTACTTAATAAGTGTTCCTCCCAGATTTCAAAAAACGAACACAGTGCTTTGGTAGTTGGAAGACTTTATGAAAATTTGTTTTATCTTAAAAGACTCTACAGCTTTTGTTAGAAACCTTTTTTAATTTTAGTTTCTCTGATAAAATTCTATAAAATATCCATTGTATTATCATTTGAAGAACATAACTTTTCATGCATTTCATTTAGATACACATAGAAAAGGGTCAAGTATTCAAAACCTTAATTTAAACTTTTCTTTGCATTGTCTGTAACAAATGCAAACAACAATCTAACTAAATACCATGAAAATAGCAGTTTCCCAAAAACGTGAAATAAGGAACCATGGGTAAGGCCATTTACATGTATATACAAATTTTCTATCTACAGGTATGATAGTTATCCTTGTTTGCTGATAAGTCTCTCAAGGCATGCTTTAAAGGAAGTACCTTTGAAAGTACATTTTAAGTAACATCTGGCTTAATTGTTTCTTGCATTAATGCTTTGCTTCTGGGTTTGACTTAGGAGATAAAAGTATTGTAAATGAAGATTTGGAAGCATCAATTGCCGATTTGATGGTTGCAAATTGAGGTTACTTAAAACAACTGTGATAATAACAAGCATTCTGAGAGTATTGCATGGCAATATGTAGTCCCCTACCGGTAAAACATTAATTGTACTGGAACAAAATGTTAACTTGATCTATAACTTGTCATGGTGTAAACTATATAACAAATATCAAGTCAATATCTTCAAGCATGACGAAAAAAAGTGTGGAAAACTGATTATTTGAGTGAATTTTCTAAGTCCAAGGACCATAACTCTGCACAAAATCATCACACCAAAACAAAATTCTAACTCGATCTGTAACTTGTCATAATAAAACTAATATACCAATTATCAAATCAATATCATCAAGCATGAGGAAAAAAAGTGTGGAAAACAGATTATTTGAGTGAATTTTTTAAGTCCAAGGACCATAACTCTACCCAAAATCATCAGACCAGAACAAAATTCTATCTTGATCTGTAACTTGTCATGATAAAACTATAAACCAATTATTAAATCAGTATCTTCAAGCATGACGAAAAAAAGTGCGGAAAACTGATTATTTGAGTGAATTTTCTATGTTCAAGGACCATAACTCTGGACAAAATCATCAGACCGGAACAAAATTCGAACTTGATCTGTAACTTGTCATGATAAAACTATAAACCAATTATTAAATCAGTATCTTCAAGCATGACGAAAAAAAGTGTGGAAAACTGATTATTTGAGTGAATTTTCTAAGTCCAAGGACCATAACTCTGCACAAAATCATCACACCAAAACAAAATTCTAACTCGATCTGTAACTTGTCATAATAAAACTAATATACCAATTATCAAATCAATATCATCAAGCATGAGGAAAAAAAGTGTGGAAAACAGATTATTTGAGTGAATTTTTTAAGTCCAAGGACCATAACTCTACCCAAAATCATCAGACCGGAACAAAATTCTATCTTGATCTGTAACTTGTCATGATAAAACTATAAACCAATTATTAAATCAGTATCTTCAAGCATGACGAAAAAAAGTGCGGAAAACTGATTATTTGAGTGAATTTTCTATGTTCAAGGACCATAACTCTGGACAAAATCATCAGACCGGAACAAAATTCGAACTTGATCTGTAACTTTTCATGACTAAACTATATACCAAATATCAATTCAATATCTTCAAGCAGGAAGAAAAAAAGTGTGGAAAACTGATTTGCATGATTGACGGATGGACAGACAGACAGACGGAGTGCAAACCTAAAGTCCCCTTCACTTCATCGGTAGGGGACTAATTAAAAATGTACACATATATATATAAATATGAAGATAAATATATTTGACTTTCATTTCAATCCAAGGAAAATTATAGGAGAAATTGCCCACACAAAAACTTATACAAAGAATTTGAGCTTTAAGGTCATCAAAAATCTTTATCCTGGAATAAGATTTTGGTGATGCTAAAAAAGCTACCGAGGTATGTAAAATTTTGCTGACATCAAGTTTTGAAGTTCTTCCAGAATTGTAAAACCAAATAACTAAATACTTGTAGATCATGATTACATTTCATAAGAGGCATTTTAATACTGTGTAAAAAGTCAAGCTGTTTAATATTCTGAGGACTATTTCCAACAGTGGTTTAAGAGCCTCTTTTAAACACTTGAAACAATGGTGATTAAGTAAAGTTTGTGAGCTTCTTTATTTAACACTGAAACTTGTATACCGAAAATTAGAACTTGTTATTTTGGACCAAATTTTAAACTCGCATATTTTAAACTGCTTTACTTATCAGTAAATATAATCACAGACAGATGGCTGTACAGTTAATGACTTTGGATTAACTTTAATCCTTTAAGTATTTAACAAGTTCTATTTGTTAGGTTTAATCATACTTGAGATCACAAATTAAGAGATTAACAGCATGGGGAACATGTTTTATCCAATTACGTTTTGAAGCGAGAATAATCCCTCCCCATAGGTGAGAAACAGACTTCTAAATTGTCATTTATAATGTTAAATGTGTTTTATGTAATCATTTTACATAAATTCTGACAGCTATACTTAATTAACCTAAATAAACACAGTAGGATTTCAACCTTAATATCATTGTTTGAATTGTATCTTTAGCAGAAAAAAATCATATTACAGGCATTGTGTGACATTATTTACCAGTTAGTACATCAACACTGTTTAAGGTTTGATAACACAGATATCATTTTACCAACAGAAAAGTATACAAATATGTTAGACTCTATAAATACATCTACATTATTTAATGTTTTGATAACAAAAGTATAATTTTAACAACAGAAAAAGAATATGAATATTTCAGACTGTATAAATGCCTAAGTCAATTCTCAATATAAACAAGAATGTGTCCATAGTACACGGATGCCCCACTCACACTATCATTTTCTATGTTCAGTGGACCATGAAATTGGGGTCAAAACTCTAATTTGGCATTAAAATTAGAAAGATCATATCATAGGGAACATGTGTACTAAGTTTCAAGTTGATTGGACTCCAACTTCATCAAAAACTACCTTCACCAAAAACTTCAACCTGAAGCAGGATAGACAGACGAACAGATGGACAGACGGACGGACGAATGAACGAACGAACAGACGCACAGACCAAAAAACATAATGCCCCTCTGCTATCGTAGATTGGGCATAAAAAAACTTTAATATCTCAAATTTGTTATTACAAGTTTGACTGATGGTTTCTATGTGGATCATATCTTTCCTTTGCTCTACATTTGTTATTAACTTTCAACCATTTTTATGATGATATTTTGGGCAATTCAAATGATGATGATGGATGGCTGTTTAACATCAAGCGGCATAATAAATGCACATTCAGGATGAGAACATGTTAATGTAATATGAATATTAACCCTGCTTTGTACTAGGCCGACATACTGAGTAGTTCACTGATACAGTCCAGAAGAAAACATGTCACCCTACCCAGACACATTATTCTGACTGGGAGACAACCAATCTTTGCTCTTACTCCTTGATGATGCGTGCTTAGCCGAAATGCAGCAAATACCAATTTTGAAGTCTTTGATTTGACCCTCCTGCACTCAAGGGGAACACGCTACCACAAGCAATTCAAATGACTGTAAACAAAATTTTTTGAGGAAAATGAAGTTATTAATAGCATAAGCTTTGCTGTTTACTTCCTGGTCTTTTGCTCATTGGTGGCTAGTTTCTTAATTACAACATATATTGTCTAAATAATATACATTTAGAATGTTGTTCAACATCAACAATCCTTACATTAAATTGTTGATTCTTTGGTTTATTCTGTGAAAAGATCACCTGATCTTATGTTCTCAAATATTTTGTCAATATGCTGAATCCAAATAAAGTTTTACTTACTTACTTATTGATATGCATGGCTTTTGAAGAGCTTTTATCATCTAAATAGTTAACAGGACATTGTCCTGGCAAAACTCATTTTGGTACATTCAAACTTTTGTAAAGTAGTCATTATTGGGAATACCAAACATGACCTCAAAAGAGGGGGTACCTATTAAGGGCATAAATACAATAGAGATCTTACATTGATTTTCCTTCAAATTCTGACACTAAGTAAATGTTGATATGATTTCTTGAAATAAGCCAAGACAAATTTAACTTCATGACTAGAATTTCCAGATATCTTAGTTTTGAAGAATTCCCAATTTCATTAAAGAGGGTGGTAAAGGGTTATTTTCGTGCAACGTGTTTTGCCATTTTTATTTCACGTGCAACCGTGAAAAAGGTTCGTTATTCACCGTGTTTCGTGAAATCGGTAAAAAGATCAACGCGCAAGAAATTTTTAATTGTTCGTTCATCGTGAAATGGCAATTTTATTTCGCGTTCTTCCGTACAGATACCCCCTTTTACGCCCCTCATTTAATTCTTAAGTTTCATCATAATAATTAATTCTCAGTTAAAATGCAAAGAGCGGAAAATTTGGACCATTTACTCAGACAATCATCCACTTTACTCTAAATTCATTATTATTCGTTGGATACCAATTTTTGTGGGTTTCTTTGGTACAGATGAACAACGAATTTAAATGTTCAACGAAATACAAATTTCTATCAGGTTGTATGCAGACTTTGGCAAAACCACGAAATCAGGTATCAATGAAAAGGCAAGTTTTTCTGCAATCCACAAAAATTGGTACCCACGAAAATAAATGAATCCAGAGTATTCATTTCAGAGTCACACAAAATTATAAAAAATAGCACCTGATAGTTTAACGAATACCCTTTGAATATACTACAAATTTAAGCACCTTTACATAATTTTCATTTAGGTACAATAACCCATTTACAAGATGGCCGATATTATTAAGGGGTTTCATTTGTGGGTACTGGATTGGTATCCTATATAAAAGAAGATCCTATTCCACATGCACATCTACATTTTAGGATCTTACAATGTACAAAGTTTCATATAGATGCCATAAACCATATAGGAGGGGTTGCGATGACAAGGTTGGTTTTGTAAAAGGTAAACATTTCTAAGGTGAAAGGGGCATAATTCTGGATAAACTAATCAGAATAAAAATTCCTTCACATGGTAATGGTTGCATATCATCATCTTTAATTCTACAGAGTTTGAAGTGAATCATACAAAAGATAAAGTTGGTCTGAAGAGACAGATGGACAGACATGCATGTTGTTTCCTATATACCCCCCAAACTTGGTTTGAGGGGTAAAATAAGACAAAGAACCATAATCAATCCTAAGCAACAACAAACCATAACAAAAAACAAGAATGTGTCCATAGTACACGGATGCCCCACTCGCACTATCATTTTCTATGTTCAGTGGACCGTGAAATAGGGGTCAAAACTCTAATTTGGCATTAAAATTAGAAAGATCATATCGTAGGGAACGTGTGTACTAAGTTTCAAGTTGATTGGATTTCAACTTCATCAAAAACTACCTTGACCAAAAACTTTAACCTGAAGCGGGACAGACGGACAAACAGAGGGATGAACGAACGGACGCACAGACCAGAAAACATGATGCTCCTACTACTATCGTAGGTGGGGCATAATAACCTTGGTACCACTCTATAAGTTAAAGCAAAAGTACACAATAGCCAGAAATAAGTTAATCATGGATTCCTTTGTATTCATTTATTTTCAAGGGTACCAATTTTTGTGAATTGAGGAAAAATTGGTTTCCGTGGATATTCGATTTCTTCGTTTTGCGAAAATCTGCATACAAGCCTACAGCAAATTTATTGTTCTTAGAGCATTTAAATTAGTTGTTCACATATATCAACAAAAATAGGTATCCCACAAATAATAATGAATCCACAGCAACAAAAGTTCCTATCATCAACAGCTGCACAATTTCGTGTTTGGAGCTAATATTTGACATTTTTTTTTCAGCACTAATAAGTAACCCTTTTTCTATACATGATTATTTTGCTAAGGTCAAAATTTGTATCCTCAAATACAGCAATGGCAAAGTCCATGATTTGGGATGGGAAACCCCTAAAATAGTTTGAACCAAAAAACAAAAAAGGAGGTGCACAATAACATTACATTGTTAAGATTGCGAGAAAGTTTCACTTAATTGTAATAAGGAGTTTTGGAGGAGTTGCAGATACAAAATGGATACCCACAAAATAAATCAATGGAAAATTCCATGCTTAGGTAAGAGTAACCAAAAAAAAACGAAATGAAAGGTGCACAATGACATCATATGGTAAAAGTTCTGAGAAAGTTTCATTAAATCATGATTAGGGGTTTAGAAGAAGCCGCAATACAAATGTGAACTAAAGTGTGCAGATATGACCATCATGTGAGTAAGATTCTGTGAACGTTTCACAAAACTCTGCCAAGCAGTTCAGGATCAGTTTTGGATGCAAAGGAGAGAGCAGAAAAAAGAAAAAAAAACATAACAGTGGAAGGCCCAACACTATATACTGCTACCTTTAGAAGGCGGTGGGTATAATAAAAGTAAGACTCACCAATTTTTGTATTAATTTCCACCTTCTTTCCATCAATCTGTGCTAGTATAGTTTTCTGTTCTGATCTCTCAGCCCATTTTCCTTTTGGCTGACCAGATGTGTGCTCAGGACTTTTGGATTTCTCATTTCCAAACTATAAAAAATAATGAAATATTAATTGAAAATATTTTTCTGGGTCAAATTTTGGTTTTACAAACTTATTGAATAAAGCTACTAAGTGTTTTAAGTATTCATTTATTCTCTTAAGTTACATATAGTCATACAGGTCCGTTTTAAGAACAACAGATTTGTTTTCCATGCTAATATCTACATGATGTTTTCTGTCTACAACTTTATTAATAGCATTTCTTCAGACTGCATTTTCTGATTTTAGTAACACTTTCCTGGAAAACTTAAATGTTTCCTCAAATATACTATAATTATCTTTGCTTTCCAAACTTTCCCCTGTCAAACAATTTCGCCTTTTTAGAATCTAAAGGACTGAGTAATTTCATTGTTGGTACCCTAAAATGAAAACAGTGTAACACATTGGTTGAATTTCCATTGTTTAGGAGGCTGTTTAGCCAATCACAATGCTCTGGTGTACACGGTTAAAAATATTACCCTGAAACAGTGTATTATAGATAAGGTCATGAACTATGACACAAAGATAACTATTTACCTTATTTTTCGCCCATTTAGGTAGTTGTCCGATACTAAATCTGTAGTCTAATGGAGCTTTAGCTTTCTGTTGTTCTGAATGTTGTTTAGTAGGCTGCTGCTGCTGCTTTTGGTTGTATTCATTCAGCTCAGCTAATATCTTACTTGGTGTTTTAAACTCTGATTCTACTGGCACAGGTATGCTTGTTTTAGAACTGTAAACAATACAATAGAAAAAGACTAAATTATATACAGGTGTTCAATTTTTGCTGGAAAATGCATGGTTGCTACAAAATAAAGGATTCTTATATGAATCAATCATAAAGATAATTAGAATTGTCTCTTTTTTTTTTCCCAAATGTATGCAGCTTAAAGAGGGCAATGACATTCAATTTCCTTCAAGAGTGGAATATATTTGATTTAAATGTTTTTTTAAAACTTAAATTCATGAACCTATCTGGTGAAATAGAATCCCTCCTTACAGAGTCTTATCCCGAATTTACAGTATACAGTGTTCTCCCCAGGATTTTTTTAAGGCGCAAAATTCAAGGGCGCGTAACTCTTTTTTTAGAGTGAACGTTTGTGATCTGAAGCAATAAGTCATAAATCATGACATGCAATATGAATTATAATGCTTTGTGTTATGTGTTTAATAATGCAGAGTATTAATGAATTACAAGAATATATATATGAAATAAATTGATTTTAAACACAAAAGTTATTTATATTCAGTCAATTAAAGAAGTCAAAATATAAATATTCATCTCTACTCTCTGCTCCTTCTAGGGATATTGTTTCAAGTTAGTGTTATTTTGTTGGACAGTCTGTTCCCCAACTTTGTCTTTATCCTCTTCAGGGTTAAAAATTAAACCCCCACTCACAATAACTTTTGCTTATACCCCCTTTAACATTTCTAAGCCATGAAAACTCAGTCAGCCACTTGTCATTGAAACCAGAAACATGGTGCTTGCTTTTATCAATTGCTAAAACTTGAGCTTGGTTGGGATTAGGAGAAGCAATGAAATCTACTTATACTGACAGTGTAGACGGAGGTGTATTCCACTTTTCATTAGAAGTCATTGGTGTGGAAAAAAACTTCTACTTCCATCATCTACCTTTTGCTTATAATTCACCCCTTTGTTATTTGCAGAGAACATGTTCATTCAGAATTAATAAAATCGAATATGGTTAAGATATTTGGTATACAACTTTTTAAAACAAATTTTTTTTATAAATGAACAGCTGACCAGTTTCCGTAGTTTCACATTACGCTTCCGTGCGTATTATTGTTTAATCCTATCTTTGGCAGATAGATATAAACGAAACTTTACAAATTCGTTAAAGTTAAAACCATTGAAATTATTTACCAGTGACATTATACAGAAGCTGCGGCGATTCTGTACCCGTGTTGATTGTCACATATTTCCCGACGCACGGATTCACGATCGATGTTCAATGATCATTTTATTTCTAAAAATATGACAGTTTCAGACGAATTTACCTTGCAAGCAACATTTTTTCACTTTCTATTAAAGTAAATCACTCCTCGTTATCTTTAATCAAACTTTATTTTAATTTTTTCAACTACTAATACTTTCATTCATAGTTTTCATCGTAAATATCTTTAGCAATGTGTATTCAAATTTATCATGTGTATTCAACACGTTCATTGGTCGTGTTTAAATAGATTCTTCTTCTAGACCAATGAAAAAATTCGTTATATAAATGGTCAAGTGATCACACACACGATGCGTAAATACAATGTATTTGCGATCTATTTCTTCAATTTCTGCACTGAAGTTTTTAAAATTTTTAATTTTCTTCAAAAAATATCTATCTTCTTGATGATCATTTAAGCTATTACCTGATAACATAGTCCGATAAGGCTGAGATAAGCGTGGCTCAGGTAAAACTAATTATCAGTTATTGCGTAACACTGACCGACCCATCAGCGGTGATCAGTAACTTGACAATTTTAACCAACATTTATAATGAAAATGTGAAAATTAACACGCTGCGGGATCAAGTATCAAGGGACAGCGGCCAATTAAGACGCTGCGGGATTTACAAAAATATTATGAAGGCGCTGCGGCACCGCAGCGTCATATCAGCCTGGGGAGAACACTGGTATAAAGTCACAGACCCATATACTAAATTTTAATCAAAGTGCTTTTTGAAAATTAAAGGGTAAAAGTTGCTATCATTTTGCAATGTGAACTTGAAATCACACATTGAATTGTATTTAAAATAGACGGTGTAAAGCAATCACCAATCAATCAATTTAAAATAGAACACATAATTTGAACTGGAGTTATCTTCCATTGTTCATAATTGTAACCTATTTTTATAACAGATTCATACACCATGCACAACTTTTGGGTATCACCACAGGCTATTTAAGGGTGATGCTCCTCCATCCTTGAATTATTAGCATGACTCATGATTTTCTGACAGAATATACTTTAAATTTTGAGATTATATGAGATAAACTCGGAAAATAATTCTAATTCACTATAACTTTGAAAGACTAAGTAGGGTTTTTTTGGCCATAAATTTAAGATACATACATTTTTTTAGTATTTAAGATAGTTGCAAAAGATTTAAAATCTATAAACATTTTCCAACGATCAAGATAATAATTTTGCAAACTCAACCCTTGGAAAAATATTCTGTGGTGATTCCTGGGCATCTAGTCACAAAACTTTTCTCAGTACTAGTATAAAATTTGTGCACAAAACACAAATCAAGTAATTTGATTGGTTCATTTCCAAGTCTGAGTATGAAAATCGTGGTATATAAATATCTCAAAACTCTCAAACAGAATTACATATGAGCTACAAACTTACGTTTCATTATTGTTATTGTTAGTTGCTACTTCAGCCTCCTGATACATATTACCAAGGTCTTGTAATCTGTTTTGCATCATGTTCGTCATCTCTGGCGGTAATCTCCAAACAAATATACACCTAGGTATAAATCAATTATTAATATCAATTATTTATTTTGGCATGATGGAAAAATGTTGTACAAAGAAAGTAATTACAATATCATTATTAATTTATGAGGTAATTTTCTTCAATATTGATTATAATATTTGTCATATAATGTGGATTCATATATTTTCGTGTGTTCCAATTTTCGTGAATTGAAGATAATTGTATTTCATTAGGTATTTGATTTAATGGTTTTACCAAAGTTTACATAAAAACCATTACAAAATTTGTCCTTCTTTGAACGTAAAAATTTACCCATGAATCAAAGAAAATTGGTATCCCATTAAAATTGATAAATCTATATAAGGGATCTTTAAAAACAGACAGTTTTCATATAATTATTTGTAACCAATTTCCAACAGACATTTTTTGTGTACATCAATGGATTTCTCCTGAGGCATAGCTAAATGGGCAAATAAATCTACCTCCCACAAATCAATACTAACCCATCAGCTGATACAGATATCAGATGTTTGAGATTATTGGTGAACTTAATACTGGTGATAAACTCTGCATGTCCGATCATAGAGGCTTGGATTTCTCCCGTGGCATAATCAATTATAGTTATACTCTTATCAACAGTACAACTAGTGGCAAAGTAAGTACCAGAGGGATCTAATGATAACTTCATCAGAACGCCATCATCTCCTATGGTTCCTTTGTAGTTCTTCCTTTGTTTGGATGTCTTTATTGAATATATCCTGATAAATAAATTCATTATCATATTGAGCAACAAGAATGTGTATCCTTAGGACACCATGCTCCTGGCCCTATGTACTTTTATTCATTTAGCATCTTTCTATAACGCTTATTTTCTTATGGTCAATAAATGTATAACGGAATGTGAGGATCATATATATTTGTCATACTGAAATATTTTTATAGCTTTATAAGATTATGACCCGCCACTCAATGGCCAATGGGGTAAAGCAATCACCAACCAACCAATCAATCAATTAATGGCCAATGCAGAACATTTTTTCCTAATCCTCTTATGAAATACAGCAGTTGTCTAATTTTTGCCTTCAGAAGCTAACTGATTTTTGGTATGAAGTTATACTATGTAATAAATTACAGATCAAGTTTGTATTTTCTTTCAGTTGTTTTCATATGTATTTCGTAATTTATTTCTGTTTTTTCACCTTACCTTATATTCCTATCCTGACAGGCTGTAGCTGCAAACTTTTCCGTGGGGTCTATGACCATATCATAGATTGTAGTTTTACCAACAAGATGTTGGTCTAGACTGAACTGTAGGTCTGGATCCTTCAAAAATATGAGTGAAAACTTACAAATAGGTTATTACATGAATTTCTGTAACATACATAACAGGTAGGGTGGATTTTTCATGTGGACAGTGAGTTTCCTTATACAAATTCCACATTGAAATATTTACATACTGTGCACAAAGTAATAAAACAAAAAAAAAGCAAATGTTTATTACATTAAATTTATAGGTGGACCAGATTGACAAGAAGTTTAGAAAATAAAGGGTCCAATCAATGTCCATTTCTACAGTGGCAGTGTTAAAAAATCTAATACCATGTGAGTTGGAATTTAAAAAGAATTGAAAGAAATTTGTTCCTCACTATATGAACATTTCTAAAGGATGCAGATTAACTGTAAGAACATTTTTACTCACCATTTGAGCATTTTTGAAGAGTAAAGCTTCATTTACTTCACAACTGACAGAACATTTTTACTCACCATTGATCATTTCTAAAGAGTAAAGAGTTTACAATCCACAGCTATCAGAACATTTTTACACATCAATTCATGATTTCAGCAGTTAAAAGAGTAAAGATTGGTTTGGTCCACAACAAGTTAGAACATTTTTACTCACCATTTGAGCATTTCTGAAGAGTAATGATTTGTCTGCTCCACAACTGAGCATCTTTAATTGTTTCTCTGTCTGTGTAAATCTGACAGCAGTTATAGATGATGAATGGTCATCTAGTGTCTGTAACAGTTTATAATTCTGTTCTACATCAAAAACATGAAGCATTCGGTCTCTACTGCTGGTCGCCAACAACTTTGGACCTGAAAAACAATAACAACAAATGATAGAATTTGTAGGTATACTTTACCAGTTTAATATGCAATTTACTGATTATTCTTGCAGATATAGGTAGTACTTATCAATGAATATCATGAGTATCACTTAAGTCAAGGTCATGGTCCATTTTGATCTTGATGTTAGGCATAAGCTTGTCAGTACATCACTTAAAACCTTCCAGCAACAGTCAAGATGAAAAACAGCAATAAAAGACATTCCTTTATTTGATAATGATTGTATAAACAAGTAATATTGCATTCTTGTTTTGTGCAATAGCTGGAAAAATGCTTATTGCATGCTTATTTTGGGGTATGTTCTTCAGGAGATATTTTTCACTGGTACTTGAATACTATGTACCAGGTATTTAATACAGTGATATTGCCAGTGATGAAAGTCAGCTGTTTAGTTTTAATCTTTATTGTTATATTTTTATTTGTATACTAATGAAATACTGAAAAAGAAAATGATACTACACGTTTTTTTCCCACGTATAACCTATGCAATACCTGCCTTAGTCCTATCATGTTAAGCTGATACCCAAGAAAGGTCAGTTTTCTAATCCTGCTAAAGTGACTAGCTTAAACCTTGATTTGATAGCATTTTATTTACCTAATTTAAAGTTACTATACTGCAAACACAATACTTCCTGATCATGGGCCTCTATTGTAGCTATTTCTTGCAGGGTTTCTAAATCATGTATTCTGAAAAATAAATTTATATTTGGATTCAACATATGTAGTCAAATAACAATCTATAATATGAAGTGAGCTTTCTTGCCAAAGTGAGCCCAGAATTTGTGTGTATTTCCAAAGCAAATTCACCTACTGTGGATTCATGATCATTTCTTGGATACTGTTTTTGTGGATTTCGTGGATATGGATGAACCACAAATTTAAATGTTCAACGAAGTACAATTTTTTATTGTATTGGCATATATGCAGACTTTGACAAAACCATGAAAACAAATATCGAAGAAAATACTGTTTCACTCACTCCATGAAAATTGGTAACCACAAAAATTTATAAATCAACAATATTAAGCAAATTATCAGGAACAAGACCAACTTTATCAAATTACCAAACACAAAGTTTAGAATCATACCTTATATTGCTCCATTACGGTCACCAAAATTAAGTCATTTTTTGTATAAACACTTCTGTGATCAGACACCTAGTGTTTACAATTATACTTAACATTACAAATACTCTCACAAGAGACTACACGTTAAGAAGCACAAAGGGTCCACAAAAATCCTTTTGGAACTAACAATAATTTTTTGAAAAATTTGTATCTCATCAAATCCATATACAAATAATCAAATAGCAAATCTTACCTTATATTACCAATTCTGTCACCAGAGGCTAAGTGTTTAGTATCAGGACTGATACATAAAGATCTAATGCCATTTTTATCATCATAATTTGTATCTGTTTTATCTGTACCTCCAGCTGAAATATATATCAAATGTTAACGTAAACACATTATACCTTTTTAACTAATCTAAATACAATTTTTTTTAAATACTTGTTAGCTACATTGCATTTAAAAAAGTGTCAATACATTTTTTTGCACTATCTGGCTAAATATAGAATTTATAGACTTCCAAGTTTTGTATTTGATTAAGATATCATGGATGTCTTTTTTTTATGTTAACTTTGTCTGGACCATGGTATATTTTAGATTCATACAGTGTGTGAGCATTGTCAATTGTACTACATGTTGAAATTATGGTGCAGCTGGAATGGTAACCTCTAAATGTCTATTTTTCTTAAACTGTATTGTTAGGTTGCTGTCTCATTGATGTTTATCCCACATCTCTTTTGTTCATAACTGACAACTATTTTTTTAAACAATTGGATGTCAGAAGAAAGAAAAATAATTAATTCATCAATTTTTTGTGCATTGTATTAAATTGAGGAGCTGCGTGAATCTTTATCATGTTAATAGAAGGTTAAGCAAGGAGTTGTTTTGTCTGTCAGACAATGAATACATGACTTACCTGGATTATAATTTACATCCCTCAAGTAATTTAATGATGGATCGGTATAAATAACTTTTAGCAGTTCCTGAAAATCAAAACAAATTATTATTAGTTAATACATGAGACAAAGAAAAACAAACCTTACTATGTAGCCTATATAGTTTCTTTCGCAACAATGCAACATTTCTAATTAGGAGATAACTGTATTCAAAGCTTGGCCTAACTAAAAGGTAGGTTAAATTTACTGTGCACGATTGCCAAATAGTTTTATATAGGCCAAGATTAAAATACAATACAGTTATCTCAATTCCAATGCAAAATAAACATAACATTCCATCTCAATCATTATTTTAATTTTATAAATCTTATGAATCCAGCTAAATGTTGTTCTTATCTTTGGCACCTAAACTGAGTGATGTCATAGGTTTGCTCCCATATGTAGAAAAACATACAAAATAGGATTGTTCAGGTTTCCATTAAACTAGTGCATGCTAACTGTTCTGTCTTGTTCTGAACTTATAGTTTATATTGCTCATATTTATATTGAATTGATCAACAGTTAACACATCTAATTAGGTGCAGAAATCTATTTGTATTAAACACTATAAATGCCTTTTTCAAATCCTATGCCAAATTGAAGCACCACTGCTTAGCTCTGCATTACAATTACAAAGAATTTTGTCACAATAACAAGCAACTTTATTTCAAAAAGTTGGACCACAGTATTATATATAGCTTGTAACAGGCAGAATTTGTGAACTGAAGAAAACAATTATTGTGATTCACATAAATCTAGACAGAATTACCAATTTACAGAGTTTATGAGAAAAGTTTATCAATTTGTTGTCCACTCCAACAGTTCTTTATGTATGAGTTTCAAATGGTCAAATTCAGATAATGTTTTAAATTATTTTAAATATCTTTTTTTGATCAAGTTATCATTTTTTTTAATAAATTTTACACCATAATTGTGTTTTTATTCAAATCTTAATAATTTAGTTAAGTATCACATCAATACTTGCACTGATACAACTCATGGTAAAATCATTATCATTTTAGTATCATGATTTACCTGTGAAAATATATTCCTTTTATAAATGTTCATATCTTTCATATGTGGGTCTAGATTCCAGATCCTGACTGTATCATCACTAGAACATGTTATAAATGATCCTGGTGGAAGAATCTGTTTCTGTCCTTCCATAATGGGTGGACTTGTCTGAAATAATAATCAAATGTAATTTTTTCTTACTAAATACAACTTAAATATAGTTTTCTTCATACATTGTAGAATCTTTATAAAATACAGAAGAAAAGAGTACATTTGAAATGGTTAATTATAAGGATGTATCCAGGATCATAACATACAAGATTTGATCTTGAGCTTTTGTAAACAGGGTGAGTATAATACCCCTTATGAACATCAACACAGGTCTATCAAATAACTTTGGAACAACTGAAATTTGTACATGAATGAGAATGAAAATTGTGATGGAAAATTGTTTGTAACAGTCATTTTGACTGGATAAAGCCACTAATTTCAAGGCATCAATTCCATGATTGATGGTCTAAATTGTGAGAACTAGCAAAGACATTGTATGACTGATGTTAAAATGTATTATTATGATTAATGTATTTCAGTTGCAAAGTTAGAATGGAGATATCAGTATTTACATGTATTTGAAGATTCGCAGGCATCATTTTTTTATTTGATGGTTGCCAATTGATGCCTGCAAATGCAAATCTTCCAATGCAATACTTATCTCCTAATTTTATGTAGGATGAAGTTATACATAAATACTTACTTCTATACTGTAAATGAAAGAACTATGGAACAAAAAACTTCTTGATTTTCCAATTTTTTTCACATCATGGACATCCCAAATATACATACTATGATCATTATAAATACAGGTAACCTACAACATAAGTAAAAACATGAACTAACATGGGTGAATCATTAAGTTAAACTTTTTACAATAAAAAGGAAAGATTATGATTGATTGATTGTTGTTTCTAATAACAGTTCTCTTTTGACCAAGAAGAAATATTCAAATGAAAAAAATTATCGGTGGCCTGCATTCATCAAAAACATAACATTTTCATTTTTGTATTTATAACCATTGGAGAGCCCACACAACAGCTGCTAAATGAAGTCTATAACAATACCATTTTTCCCATTAAAAGTCTATAACGATACCATATTTCCCATTTAAAAGTCTATAATGATACCATTTTTCCCATTTAAAAGTCTATAACGATATCATTTTCCCATTTAAAAGTCTATAACGATATCATTTTTCCCATTTAAAAGTCTATAACGATATCATTTTCCCATTTAAAAGTCTATAACGATATCATTTTCCCATTTAAAAGTCTATAACGATACCATTTTTCCCATTTAAAAGTCTATAACGATATCATTTTCCTTATTTAAAAGTCTATAACGATATCATTTTCCCATTTAAAAGTCTATAACGATATCATTTTCCTTATTTAAAAGTCTATAACGATACCATTTTTCCCATTTAAAAGTCTATAACGATATCATTTTCCCATTTAAAAGTCTATAACGATATCATTTTCCTTATTTAAAAGTCTATAACAATACCATTTTTCCCATTTAAAAGTCTATAACGATATCATTTTTCCCATTTAAAAGTCTATAACGATATCATTTTCCCATTTAAAAGTCTATAACGATATCATTTTCCCATTTAAAAGTCTATAACGATATCATTTTTCCCATTTAAAAGTCTATAACGATATCATTTTCCCATTTAAAAGTCTATAACGATATCATTTTCCCATTTAAAAGTCTATAACGATACCATTTTTCCCATTTAAAAGTCTATAACGATATCATTTTTCCCATTTAAAAGTCTATAACGATATCATTTTTCCCATTTAAAAGTCTATAACGATATCATTTTCCTTATTTAAAAGTCTATAACGATACCATTTTTCCCATTTAAAAGTCTATAACGATATCATTTTCCCCATTTAAAAGTCTATAACGATATCATTTTCCCCATTTAAAAGTCTATAACGATATCATTTTCCCATTTAAAAGTCTATAACGATATCATTTTCCCATTTAAAAGTCTATAACGATACCATTTTTTCCATTTAAAAGTCTATAACGATACCATTTTTCCCATTTAAAAGTCTATAACGATATCATTTTCCCATTTAAAAGTCTATAACGATATCATTTTTCCCATTTAAAAGTCTATAACGATACCATTTTTCCCATTTAAAAGTCTATAACGATATCATTTTCCCATTTAAAAGTCTATAACGATATCATTTTCCCATTTAAAAGTCTATAACGATATCATTTTTCCCATTTAAAAGTCTATAACGATACCATTTTTCCCATTTAAAAGTCTATAACGATACCATTTTTCCCATTTAAAAGTCTATAACGATATCATTTTCCCATTTAAAAGTCTATAACGATATCATTTTTCCCATTTAAAAGTCTATAACGATACCATTTTTCCCATTTAAAAGTCTATAACGATATCATTTTCCCATTTAAAAGTCTATAACGATATCATTTTTCCCATTTAAAAGTCTATAACGATATCATTTTCCTTATTTAAAAGTCTATAACGATACCATTTTTCCCATTTAAAAGTCTATAACGATATCATTTTCCCATTTAAAAGTCTATAACGATATCATTTTCCCATTTAAAAGTCTATAACAATACCATTTTTCCCATTTAAAAGTCTATAACGATATCATTTTCCCATTTAAAAGTCTATAACGATACCATTTTTCCCATTTAAAAGTCTATAACGATATCATTTTCCCATTTAAAAGTCTATAACGATATCATTTTCCCATTTAAAAGTCTATAACGATACCATTTTTTCCATTTAAAAGTCTATAACGATACCATTTTCCCCATTTAAAAGTCTATAACGATATCATTTTCCCCATTTAAAAGTCTATAACGATATCATTTTCCCCATTTAAAAGTCTATAACGATATCATTTTCCTTATTTAAAAGTCTATAACGATACCATTTTTCCCATTTAAAAGTCTATAACGATATCATTTTCCCATTTAAAAGTCTATAACGATACCATTTTTCCCATTTAAAAGTCTATAACGATATCATTTTCCCCATTTAAAAGTCTATAACGATATCATTTTCCCCATTTAAAAGTCTATAACGATATCATTTTCCCATTTAAAATTTTCCCCATTTAAAAGTCTATAACGATATCATTTTCCCCATTTAAAAGTCTATAACGATATCATTTTCCCATTTAAAAGTCTATAACGATATCATTTTCCCATTTAAAAGTCTATAACGATATCATTTTCCCATTAATAGTCTATAACGATATCATTTTTCCCATTTAAAAGTCTATAACGATATCATTTTCCCATTTAAAAGTCTATAACGATATCCTTTTTCCCATTTAAAAGTCTATAACGATATCATTTTCCCATTTAAAAGTCTATAACGATATCATTTTTCCCATTTAAAAGTCTATAACGATATCATTTTTCCCATTTAAAAGTCTATAACGATATCATTTTCCCATTTAAAAGTCTATAACGATATCATTTTTCCCATTTAAAAGTCTATAACGATATCATTTTTCCCATTTAAAAGTCTATAACGATATCATTTTCCCATTTAAAAGTCTATAACGATATCATTTTCCCATTTAAAAGTCTATAACGATATCATTTTCCCATTAATAGTCTATAACGATATCATTTTTCCCATTTAAAAGTCTATAACGATATCATTTTCCCATTTAAAAGTCTATAACGATATCCTTTTTCCCATTTAAAAGTCTATAACGATATCATTTTCCCATTTAAAAGTCTATAACGATATCATTTTTCCCATTTAAAAGTCTATAACGATATCATTTTTCCCATTTAAAAGTCTATAACGATATCATTTTCCCATTTAAAAGTCTATAACGATATCATTTTTCCCATTTAAAAGTCTATAACGATATCATTTTTCCCATTTAAAAGTCTATAACGATATCATTTTCCCATTTAAAAGTCTATAACGATATCATTTTCCCATTTCACTACTAACAACAATGATGGCATACATTTTGACCGACTCAGTAATTACAAAAAACATTAAAACCCAAACTGCCTGACAGAAAAAAATGATCTAAAGTGGGTAAGTGGGTGTTTCTGAAGTTAAATTTTCATGCCAGACATTTTTTATTGTAGACAAAAAATAGTATCATAAAGCTTTATACTAAACAAGAAATGAAGTGACTATTGTGTTTAACCTTATTATTCCAGTCATCATACACTATACCAATGGTATCAGGATATTTAGCATCTGTTTTCTGGCTAACCATTTGACTGAAACAGACATTTTATATTTATATATACATTGAAATGTTTATTCAGAGAATGTATAAGAGTACAGCAAATCTTAAGAAATACATGAAAAATATCAAACCATCAAATTTAGTATTTAAGAAATGATAAATTTATAGCATATTGCTTCACACACAATTCTAATGAACAAAATGATCAAATGACATCAATATACTTTTGTATGACAGAAACAGATAGCTTTTTCCATGGTTTTTTTCCCACTTAGATACATGTAAATTGAACTTTGATGAAAATGGAAGGCAACATGAATATTTAGGAATTACAATAAAAATTAAATCTCCAAAATATGTTTTACCTTGGATTAAGAGCTGATGCAACATCTACACCTAAATAATGAGGATGTGGTAGATTGGCTATATAATGTAAATTCTGAGCACTAAACACTCTCACAACACCATTGGCACAACCAATAAATATATAATCACCGGCAGCAGTTACACAATTGGCGCAAGTCGTCTGTAATCAAATATATATAAATAAATGAGTTATTCTCTTACTGGGCATTGTCTGTAATACAACATGAACTTAAATAATATATCCTTTAATCTTCCAATATTTAGAGTGCAAATACTTTTCAAATATTTCAACTGTTATTCCAGTATCTACAATTTTTTATACCAATCTAATGTAAGGCAAAAAAAATGAAGAAAAAAATGGCTAGAAAGAGCTTAGTGTCAAATAAAGTATCTGCAAAAATAAGTTAGTTTACAGAAGATTAACACTATCCATTTTTTTTACAAAATGACATACCCTAAGTTCTGCCCATTTCTCCAGCAATCTTTTTTCATTAAAGTTACATAAATAACCTGACTGTGTTATACAGAAAACTGATTTGTTCTTCCCACAAACAACATCCGTAAAGAAATTATTCTTTAATTCTCCCAAGATGCCTGACCTTCCTGATAATGGCACTGTCTCGTTTAATATCTGAAGAGAAAAAAATATCAAATCATAATGAATGTATATAAATTTGTCCTCCTAAGCTGTGCTAATGTCTTCAAATAATCCAATTTTTTTTCTTCAACTGATCAATTTCTTTTTATAATGTATCATACAAGTATTAATCTTTCATATTAATATTGTCTTGTTGTACACATCTAGTGTTAAATGTTAATATAGCTCTCTTGTCTTGTCTTCATATTCTGATTACCTTAAATTTGGTTTTATCAATATCCAGTAAATTTATTTCTTTTAAATTTTTCTTTTTATCATTTTAACAATATTTTTATCACCAAAAGCAATCCTATGGTTGTTCAGAAAGAACATGTGATATTGTACTAGAAATAGCAACCATTCCTTTGTCTTATGTAAAAACTATATATTATGGATTTTGTTTTGTTTTCTGGGAACCTTGCTACTTCATTTGGAATATCCTTGCTAGTTATTGACAACAGATTAATATGTTTCAGACAAAAAAACTATTGTGTAAAAAAACCTCCAAAAAATGTAAATGATATCTTTTGTATGATATACATTTTTCGTTGCATAAAAATGCTTTTACTTTCCCACAACTTTCAAGGGTTAGTTGCAAAGTGAAAATATTTGCAGTTTCTGATAATCATAACATTCTAAATGTCTATTCAAGTTAGTGTGTGTTGTTGGATTACCATTTTATTGATGAAATGCTACCACATCTTTGATTCAATTACATAGACCCCTAAAAAATGTCCACCTTTTTATTCCTTTGTCCTCACCTTAGATTTACTACTCTCAAGGTACCAGAATTTAACATGTCTATTGCCTACTGTCACAAACATGGAACCATCCTCTGAGAATGCTACAGCACTAACCTGAAAATAAATAATCAATATACAACTATGGAAACAAAATTGGACACAATGTCGTGCTATTATTCAAACAATTTGAAAACAGGAAATAGTAGTATGACAGATCCAATAAACTGCTTCGCTGAGCGCAGCTGGATACGCCCGCAGAGGTCCAACCCTGAACAGTTGGGGCAAAAATGGACACAATATTCAAACTTGATACAGGTCTGAATTTGGATTGTAATTAAATATTTGACATATTACAGGTTTCTGAATAAATGTAGTCAAAGAACTTGAAATTGGTTATATGAATTGAATTTATATTCAATTAAAGATTTCTTGCTGTTGTGCAATACACTGTGCTGTTGCGCAATACTTAGTAAATCTGTTGTCAGACTATAAACAAATAAAGTTCAATTAATTCTCAATGTCATATTAGAAAATTATGAAAATCAAAAGGAGCTTACATCAATAAATATAAACAATTCACCAAAGTTTCATGGGAATTGCTGACAGCATTTTTGAGTTATTGTCAGAAAACTGGAAAATCCCCCTTTTTCAATGAATAAAACCCCATAACTCAGAAATGTAAAATGTAAAATTTATAAAATTCTAAAGGGAGCTTACATCAATAGATATAAACAATTCACCAAAGTTTCATAAGAACTGCTGAAAACATTTTTGAGTATTTGTCCGAAAACTGGAAAATCCCCCTTTTTTTTAATAAAACCCTGCAACTCGGAAACGTAAATCTAAAATTTATAAAAATCGAAAGGGAGCTCATGTCAATAGATATAAACAATTCACCACAATTTTTTTGCAAGTTGATGAAAGTATTATTCGAGTTATTGTCCGAAAATTGGAAAATCCCCCTTTTTTTAATGAATAAAACCCCACAACTCTGAAACATAAAATCTAAAATTTATAAAAAACGAAAGGGAGCTCACGTCAATAGATATAAACAATTCACCAAAGTTTTATGCAAATTGGTTAAAGCATTTTTGAGTTAATGTCCGACATGTTGACGACGGACGGACAGACGGACAGACTGACGGACGGACAGACGGACGGACAGACGGACAACGGTATACCATAATACGTCCCGTAAACGGGCGTATAAAAAGTGCTCACACATTACAACTCATCACTGTCAAAAACCTGATGACTAAATATTAGTGTTGTCAAATCGAGCAGTTTTGCCTAACTGGTTACTCGGATAATCTTTCGACCGTTAAGTTGATGTTTAAAGACCTTATCTATTATAGTACCCTACAAATGTACGTTTTTATGATATGATAAATTGAAGTTTATCCTTGGGCATTATAAGGCTAGGTTTTGAGCATTCCTGGTGACGTTTACTTTTAATAATCCAATTCTACCGTATCTACTATGAAGTTCGTTACTTCAGATTGAGAAGATGAAAATATTCTTGATCTCATCGAATTTACATTGTCTGAAACCATTGATATTTTCATTTTCTCTGGTGTCTCAGATGTTTCATTTTGAGATGATTAAGTGTGTTACTCTTACCACCATATATACATTAAGTCAATTCAGACACATGATTTGCATTTTACCAATTTTGAGTCGGCATTAACTTCTAGTGTGACAAAACCTTGGACGATGGAAGTGGCATATTTACATGTAGCTCAATATACTGGACAATTGATCTGTCAAATTAATTACCACAACTATCATTTTAAAATTCAACAAAATGTATGAATGATTTCATTACACGTTTATATCAAATCTATTAAAATTGAAAAAAGGTCAGGTTAACCGGTTAGCGTTTTTGGTATTCGATATTCGGTCCTTCCGACAGATAACCGGTTAATCGTTGACTAAATCACTACTAAATATGAAGTTATTCCGTTTAGTATAAACCAAGAAAAACGTGATGTAAATATTCATCAGACACTGAGACGGACAGACAGACAGACAAGGTGAATGCAATATGGCCTAGAGTTGGGGTATGATACATAGGCATCTAGATTCTCCTTCTTTTGAGAATGAGTCTTGACATTTCTACATTCAAGATGGTTAAATTTTAGTTTTCAACATGCAATTTATCTCGACTATAATATAGTGAACCAAAAAGTACAGTAATTTGTATATTTAACAGTTTCTTTTTACTTCTGTTATTGGTAAATTTGTAATATGCTCAATCATTTTATCGAAAAATAAGTTATTTTTTTATATAATTGAAGACTCTTCCTATTTAAAGCCATCACTCATCTGTCCGTGACACACTTTAAAATTCCTGACTAGAACTTAACTTACAATATATTTCATTTGTTGCCAAGGATGTTCTGTTTTGAACTAGAACTTCATTTTTTCAAGATATCTTAATTGTCTATGCTAAGGTTCCTTTTTTTTTAAGCAAGACTAAATATTTCATTTGTTGCCACTTAAAATTCATGTTCTGTTATTAGACATATTGAACTAGATGTTTTATTTGTTGCCAATTGAGTTCCTGCTTTGATTCAGGATTTATTGGACTAGATATTTTATGTGTTGCTACTTGATGTCCTATTTTGACCCGCAACTCACTTTACTAGATATTTAAATTTTTTGCCACTTGAGTTCCTATTTTGACCCACAACTTACTTTACTAGATATTTTATTTGTTGCCACTTTATTGCCAGTTTTCCAGTTCCAGACTGCAGCCATCATATCATGCTGAGATCCAATGGATACTATGTATTTGTTATTTGGAGAAAATGCCTGAAAGAAGCGTCAGAATACATTAAAACATAGCATGTATGTCATAAATAAATAAATTATATCACAGAAAATCAACAGAACATTTCTCAATGTGTGATTCTAGGATACAATATGGTTTATTTGAAATTTACTCATATTATATGTATTGGTAGAAAGTTTTAAAAATGTATAATTCAAGATATTTTCAAAGAAACTAATGAATTGCTTAGGTTGAAATTATTTATGTGTCAGAATATACTGACATTTCAACATTTTTCAAATTAAATAAACCAATCAAATGCAGCTATATATTTTCTTTACATTTCAAATGGTGTGATTTTGGAAATTTAACCGTCATATAATATTACCACACAGTTAATGCCAAATTTGTGTCCATAAAATTCGGCCACTTGTATTTTTTCTTCAACATCCCATACACGTACTGCAGGCTGATGACCACACTGAAAAAATAAACAGATTAAATTTAATAAGGAAAATCAAAACCACTTAATGAAATAGTTATTTAACTACCTTTTGTAACTTTTAACCTTTTCTTGACTTGAGATAGTTTGTTGATTGAAATAATGTCCCAAGTCAGGAGCCTGTAATTCAGTGGTTGTTTTTGTCTGTCATATTTTTTTCAACTAAATTATATTGTATAAATTAGGCTATTAGTTTTTTGTTTGAATTGTTTCACATTTTTCATGCTAGCTGACTATCAGGTATAGGTTTTTCTCATTGTTGGAAGGCTGTACGGTGACCTATACCGTTAAAAGGCTTGTATAGTCCGCGTTTTTATTCTCCAAAATTGACCCTGACAGCAGGGGTGCGGACTATAGAGTACAATAAGCAAGAAATAAGAGAGAAAATTTCAATTTCTCGATGTGGTTTGTTTACGTTCCGCCATGTTTGTTATTGACATTGTAGCTCTTATCATTTTTCAAACCAATAATTTTACCCAATCCATATTAATAAGTTATCTTTATTCAATATCAAATTAATCCTGATAAATTTAAAAAATTAAATGCTTCATTACAAAATTCTCGTTTCGTTTAAATGCATTGTTAAATATAAACTGGTATCTGCTTGAATGAAATTGTACAAAAAAAGTAAAAAAAGACAACCATAAACCAGCTTACGATGTGTAAACTACAAAACGTAATCGGTTATTATTCGTTCCGTTTTGGTGTTTCCTATTGACAAATATGTTTTGTATTGGCTTAAGAAGACCCTTCAAACATTCATGTTATAGATATATTAAACACTGTTTTACATAAGGAGGAAACTGTTTTACTTTCAAAGTCGTATTATAGTGATATCTATTATGTACAGATTTCGACTCTCACCAGGTTTTTTCATCTTTTACACGTGCTTATACACAAGTTTCAAATTGTTTTTTGTGTGATTTAGACTTATTTTAACCAGCGTGAAGTGTTTTAGAACCATTTACAAGCAGTTTCAGCTTCTGTTTGGTGATGGAAAATAGGTTTTTCCAAGAAAATACCGCAAACGACCACACACGATTTAAAATTACCGGAGTTTCATTAGACCTTTTCTAACAGTTACAAAAAGTTTTTTTAACTGAAATTTCGTGCCGAGAAGGGGGTGCGGACTATGTACCAGTGCGAACTATACAAGCCCGATTACGGTAATTGCTTTTATCTTCGTCATTTGAACTCAAGTGGATCAAAGTCTCATTGGCAATCATACCACATTTCCATATTTTTATATAGTAAAAAAAATTGTCACAATCATACCACAGTACATATGCACTTTTTTTTATAATTACAATTTACATGTGGAGATGATATTTGCAGCTTTTTTCAGTAACATCTTGTAGTTTTAGTACAGTAAATGTTTTTCAAGAGGTGGTAACCGGCAGTATATATGACAATTAGAGCAAATTTTCATAAAGTAAAGTTCACAGTAATATTAATTTGTTCCTTCAATTTAATGTCAATAGGTCCTTTACATAAGTTTGATAAATCACACTAGAATTTCATCTTGACTTGCTAGTAAAGAGCTGAAGAAAGGTATCTAAGATCAAACTGTCAATGGCATTATCACTTTCTTGTAATAAAAGTTCAATCCTAATGATTGAAAATTAAAAGCATCTGTGAAATCAATCACCACAGAGACATGAAAAAAATGACTTACCTCCCCTGTGACAATATTTTTGCCATCTTTAGAGAACTTGACGGCTGTGATTGTCTTTTTACAAGAGTTTATGATATGTGATTGTTTCTTTCCATTTAGAAGCACTACCACACATCTGAAATGTAAACATATCTTTTAATTATCAAGTTGCTAAAATGCTTAACTATCAAATATATGCATTTCTTATATTTATCAATATTAACATATATGTATTTTTTTGGCTGCTGTTTTCATTCATGATCCCTCCATATTTCCCATTTACTAATTAATAAAAAATACTCTCCAATCATCCATGTAGTAAACACACATCATATGCAAGGACACACAAATGGACACATGTGAAAGTATCAGGTTCACAATAATAAAAACTTGCATTCATAAATTCAGATGTAATTTTCCTCCATAACATTTTTGCAATTGCATTTATTAGATTTCACTTTTTTTCCAGAGGTCAAGGATTAATAAAATTAATTTGTGAATTTACAGTATATCAATATCCAGAGACAATGCGTGATTACTACCTTTAGAATATAACACTTTAAAATATTGAAAAGATATTGAAGTAGAGCAGAATATATTGGTACAACAGTGCCAGCATTCTGAAAATCTATAGGTATGATAATTTGGTGTAAAATTGTGTCATAAATAAAACCGTACTGAAGCATAATGAAAATGTGACTGACAAGCCGTCTGTCCAACTCATAGAAATAACCTTAAATGAACACCATATTATTGAGATTGAAGATGAAACCCATTTTTTGTAAACATGTAAAATTAATAAATCTTTAAGAAAACTACTTGAAAAAGACATAAATGATATTCAGTCTTTTGCACTGAGGAGAGTGGACACCACAACTGCATAATCATTTCTAGTTTTTTTTTTTACTATTGGTATATGATGTTAACTATTTATAATGTTTGCATTGTGTTTATTGCTGTATTGCTCGACTTCAACCCCTCAGAGTATAAATGTGCATTTCTTAATAATAAAAATTATTAAAGGATGACCCAAATTACCATAACACGTTCTCATCTAAAATTAGAAATTCTCATTAACGGTCATTTGCCATAATTCGTACTCAAATAGGTCGAATTATCGCTCATAAGACAAACTTGTGCAAAAACGAGAAAAATAAAAGAAAAACACGTTTTTTTTTTTATCAAGCACTTGAAAATCGTGAATCTGACATATTGAACACCTGGTGTATGCTGAACTGAATTGTAATAAATTAACTTGCATTTCTCAGGCCTGTATGCCAGCATACGAACCTGGTGTATGCTAAAGTCTACATTTGATTTATACATTGTATTTCTCAGGTCTGTATGCCTGCATACGAACCTGGTGTATGCAGAACGGCAAATATTGAATCAAATGTTGTATTTCGCAGGTCTGTATGCTAGCATACGAACCTGGGTGTTTCCAAAAAATCCTTTACTTCAGTAGTTGTGTTTTAACGCTGATTTCGATTTTTTTTTTAAACTAAAAGCCTACCACTGACCTCTATATTTTCTCCCGATAGGTAAACAGAAAAGCGTTAATTTGCAGGGCAAACCGGTAAAGCGTTTACTGTTGTAAATCTAAAAATGAAAACCGATTCACAAGTTCCACGACTATGATCACTTTATTGACATGACAGTTATCTGTTTGTTTGCAAATTAAAATTACGGAAAAATGAGGCGATCATAATTTGTACAAGGTTCCAAGTTGTTGACAAAATTTTAAATGACGTCAGGGACCTTCTGACGTAAGGCGGAGGGAATTATAGACGGATAGCACTTGACTTACGCGAGTTACTTTTTACCAGTACACTTAATTAAAATAATAGCAATTGATTACAAAACAAAATGTTTTTTTTATACTTTGTATTGGTAAATGATAAAAAGTCAAAGAACAAATGGACTATTTATCTGCGTTGAATGACCTAATAACACCTTATGTCACGCACTCCTATATGACGTCATTTACAAATGTAAACAATGTGAATGATCAATGAAGGAGTTCCCGTCACGGAGAAGAAAATGGACAATTCATTGAAAAATACGCTCTATTATCTAAATTTTAATATACCAGAAGCAAAACAGAATGTCAGATACATTTACGGTAAGTAAACCTAGCTGTTTTTGTACATTTTCCACGAATTCCATAGAACACCCTCTTTTTTTAGAAGTGACTGACTGATTTAATCCGGCTTGAAAACTATAATACAAGATTATTGATTACGCTAAGTTTGTTTTCTCAAGAGGTTTGTTCACTTCAATCAATTTCATGCTAGACATCATGTGGCGAAATTTACTGCTGTTTTACTATCAAGCTACCCCACCCCAAAAAAAAAATAGCCTTGCAAGACGTCATAAGTCCAAGGTAAAAAGGGGGGGGGGTGAGCGCTCACATGTTAAAACCGGCCACACTAGTCTTTATGTGCCTGTCCCAAGTCAGGAGCCTGTAGTTGAAGTTGTCATTGGTTCATGTATGTCGTATTTCTTTTTCGTAAATTGTTTTGCTATAAATTATTGTTTCTTATTTTTCATGTTGGGTCCTTTTATCATCTGACTATACAGTATTGGTTTTTCTCATTGTTGAAGTCCGTACAGTTGCCTATACTTGCTTACATCCACTTCATTTTGGACTTTGGTGTACAGTTGTCTCATTTGCAATCATCCCACATCTCCTTTTTTTTACAAGGAGGTTGTATGATGTGTCCTTGTTTTGGAAAACTGTACAGTACATTTGTCACATGATCACTGCAGCATTTTGTGATGTGTGTATGTAAGAAGCTGTTACTGTAACAGGGTAATATGAAAAGCTATCAACAAAATCGAAAGACAGACAGAAAATTTTAAAATATAGTGAGCAATAAAAAACAAAAAAAGAAGTAATTCAAACAAATTAAACATACATTTATTGCGAAAGGATCAGAACAGCACATTTCAAGAGTGTTCAATTGGAAAAATGAATGTTAATAAGGAAATGACATATTTCATTGATCTTCAATCAGATGCATGGCGACAAAAATACTTTCAACTTCAAGGGAACGACTTCAATTCAACCACTAAGAACCCTTAGTTCATATACATTCTAAAATCAGTAATTGTGATAATGTTAAAGTTGTGAAGTGTATAATATTCACACATATATATATATGTATATAATATGTAGTTTCCATTTCTCGTTTCAGCATTTTTCAAACAGTGGCTATACCTTTCATGTAACTATTTATGTGTTGCTTATGAATTGAATTGTAACACTTCTTAGTGACTGGATAGGTTAAACCAATGCCTTCCTAGAAAACTACGACATCAATGAACAACACCTGACCTTTTGCTGTTCCTGCTAATAAAGTAAAAATGGCTTCACTAGAAAAGGACGACACCTAGAACATGTAGAAAAAGCATCAATTCTTTGGCTTTCCTGATTGAAGGATTTATTTTTACAACTCCAGTGTATAATATGCCATTATAAACAATTTTTACCATAGTATAATGCTATAAATTCACTAATTTCCATATCTATTAGCTAATACAGTTAGATATCGACTTATGATATGCAGTGAAGACAGATCATTGCAAATTGTTTACATTACCGATAATTAAAATAAATGTATGCATGTTTGGCATACATCTTTGTAAAGCAAATTGTATACAGACATCCCCCTAAAAGCATTAAAAAAAAAACAAGAACTTTGGCATACACCATGTTGACAGGCAGAGATGCAAACACAATGACTTAAACACTTTGTTGTATCACTGTCTATTTAGTATGCATATTGCCAACTATATCAGATTTTAAGACAGTTTCATTTTCTCTCCATCAATTTCTAACCAAGAGTTCCAAATGGTGAAGTTGAAATCATCCCTTCGTAAATTATACGGACGCCATCACGAGTTGGTTGACCGTTATGGAATAACCGTTTCACAGATGATATCGGATATGTTTCTTACGTCGTAACTACAATCCCCTTCCCTTTTCATGAATGTGACTAACCGAATTAGACTATTTACCGGGTTTGTAATAACATGAGCAACACGACGGGTGCCACATGTGGAGTAGGATCTGCTTACCCTTCCGGAGCACCTGAGATCACCCCCAGTTTTTGGTGGGGTTCGTGTTGCTCAGACTTTAGTTTTCTATGTTGTTTCTTGTGTACTATTAATATTTGTCTGTTTGTCTTTTTCTTGCCATGGTGTTGTCAGTTTATTTTCGATTTATGAGTTTGACTGTTCCTCTGGTATCTTTCGCCCCTCTTGACACAATGCTTGAAGTTACTAACTTAGAGCATGATGAAAAATAATAGTTTTACAATTTAAAATATGAATACATGTACAACATACAGCTGGTTAGAATGCAAACCATTCAGCTTGCTAAATATCCAATAAGTGCCACAAAATATGCAGAAATTTTAGACTGGAGGCAAACCCTACACAAATACACTAGCTCAATGAACACCAGCTTGGTTTGACAATACTAAAATGTATGTAAAACTATAATTTAATAGAACATAGGTGGGTATACAGACAATCAAATCTTGTATATATCCAAGTAAAAAAAAAATAAGTGTTCACCGTACACCAGTGTTGTATGCAAGAATACCGTGAACTGAAAATGTCAAACAAATATGCAAACTTTTATGTTCCAATGTGTATAGGACTATAGGTCGGTATGCCGACAATCAAACCTATGAATTCCATTTTTTTACAAGAGTTTATTGAAAAGCGGGTTGATATACAGGAATAAACCCCTGAGTGTTGCAGTTAAGAATTGAGAGCTTTCTTTCAAATTCAAACGAAGTTGAAGGCTATACATAAGTAATTCCTTACATCGATGTAATTCGGCCTTTGACATGTTTGATGGAGATACATTTGTATGTCTCTTTCAAAATCATACACATCTCCTTATTTTCTAGGGGGGGGGGGGGGGGGGGGGGGGGGGGGGGGGGGTTGGTTATGCAAACATAAGTAAATAAGAAATGTTACTACACAGTAAATGCTTAGCATTCAGGCAGACAGACTTGCCAATACAAACATGAATCCAGAATAAAATTTTAGAATCCATGCAGGCATACAAGTACCTGGCAGAAAAATGCCAAAATAAATAATAATTTGAGTCTATATGCAGGC